ACAATTGCAATCATTTCTTTATAAGCGAATGTGTAAAAAAATAATAAATCTGTGCAAAATGTAATTTGAATGACGCTGAGTATTCACGATTTTTTCCGAATTTTCACCGGAAAGTAGGACACCATTAAACGTAATTAAACATTATTACCAACTGCAGTTAATAATTAAAGCTCTACAAAGTGAAGTTCAACGTAAAACTTCTAATAAACCGGTCTCTTGACATCACTTCTTCGAAGCCTCTCAGCGTCCAATTAAATCACGCCTCCCCAACGGAAAACACTGAAAAAAAATCGAAAATTGAATCGAAAGTGGTCAGAGCCCCCGTCTCCTCTCCCAGGACTGATCAGCCCGCATTGTTCAACACAGCCAGCAATTTAATTTAATAATCTTCACCGGCACTTTTGCCTCACGATGCGTGTCTTAAAAAAACTCTGCACATACCCTCCCAAGCATTGAATGCACTCCTGCAACTCAGCATACTCGAACGCTCCGTAAAATTAGAATTCCCCCATTTTACTCGTGTGAAAAACAACGCGCAAATGCGTTAGTAGACAAGAAAAGAACTGAAAAAAAATACGATGAAAAACAAAGAATCACCGAGAAAGCGAGAAGGTGGTTGAATTCACGGGCTGTCGGTCTCCACAAAACATACATTTACGTTGGGCAAGGACACATCAGTCCAGTACATTCACCCCCCTTTGATTCCCCCCTCCAATGAGGCGTCTGTGTCACACAGTCGGTTTTGGATATCCCCGTTTTTATGGGTTCGTCACGAGGGCACCCTCCCTCGTTTGCCAATTGGGGTCTCCTGAAATAAAGCCCAGGACAAAAGTATTAATCCACCCCCCTGATCCCTTCCACTCCTATATACCAATAAAAGTGCCGATGACTTTCTCACTTCGGTATTATTTTTTTTCTCGTCCAATTTAAAAGTCAGTAGCGCAAGCGGTGAAACGGTTTGTCCCCATGAAAACGGTTGTTACGATGTTCTTAAAAAATGAATCCGTAGTAGATTGATAAATTCTGAATACGGGGAATTTTTTGTAAAATTTGTATTGTCTATTGTTTGTGCGATATTCAACTCTAAAAAATGGAAATTTTGTGAAATTATTTCCTGTTTGATTCGAACAATTAATTGATCAATGATTTTTTATTTGATTCAAATACACGAAGAGAAATATTCAGTAAAAATTTCGTATGTTTTCCGTAATTCCGGAGCGCAATGTGGCTGTAGGAAATTTTACGGAACTGTCACGTAATTTTTACCTAAAATCACGGAATTTTTCCAGAGCGTTCCGTAATTTTTATCTGAATTTCCTGTGAAAAATTGCGATTCCTTCACTTAAATTTTCTGAATCGATTCCGTAATCGGTGAGCGAACTGTGAATTCCGCAATTTTTACTGAACATTTTTTGCCTGATGTCTCTCCGTGCAGTTATTGTTGCCTTCATCAACTACCTATGAGGATAGAACAAGTCGGTACCTTATGAGAATGCAATCAATCTAAGTAATTTAGAATTTTTTCTGGAAATCCATCGTGACTAACTTGTGGAATTGTCTTGGGATGTACCTTAAGGTACTTTCTCGGGCACTAATAGATCGTGAAAATATCGCAATGTACTAAAGATTCACAAATTCAAAACCGATTACCCAGTATTCAAGTATTTTCTGTTTTTTCAATTTTCAGTATTGAACCATTTTCAAACATTAAATTTGTCAATTAAATTGCGTGCGAAAAATTTGCAAAAAAATCTGAATATTGAACGTCATTCAAATTACATTTTCCACAGAATTATTATTTTTTCAAAGATTCATTGTTTATAAATGAATAATTGAAGTTGTTTCAACTTTCGGAGACCTTATTTTTTTACGAATAAAATCGAATTCTGGTAAAATTCTGAATATGAATAAATTTGTTACGATTCCAAACAAATGATTTTTATGGCGGAAATTGATTGTTTATAAATTATTCATAGAAAACACTCATAATTTTCAAAAATTGCAATTTTTGAATTATTTCCTCAATTTTTAAATTCAGACCTGCAAAGTTTAAATAATAGAATCATAGCAAAATATCCGGAAATTTGAGGTCAAATGGGACTCAAGTGAAAGCTCTGATGTTCGACTACAAAATTAGAAAATCATTTGGCTAGAGAAAAAATAGCCAAAGTACTTGGACATCAAGTCCATTTTGACTGTTGCCTCAATAAATATCTCGAAATCTAAGCCCAATCGCAAAATATTTGTTATGACCTTTTTTGTAGCACTCAATTCACTCTACAAAAAAGGTTATTACAAAAATTTCGCCATCTCCCAGCGCTTCGTAGATATTCTTCAAAAACTCAGGTGAAACCCAAGTCAACTTGAACCGTTTTATCCCTTCACTACTTATTGTCAACATCATTGTTAACGTCATCGATAAAAAACGTGGAAAGTCAATCCGAACTCGTTTCAAAGACTGGTTTAATAAGTCACTGATGTCCTTGCGGGTGTAATTACGGGGTTTCTCAATGACAACGACTGGATGACTAGCGCCCACAGTGCGCGAACAATGTCTTCCGATGTAATTTAAAAGTTCCATAAAATGCCGGAAAACTTGCTGAAAGAGGTCAACTTTAGCTGTTCATAACGAGAATTATAGGAAACGCCTGAAGACGAGCAGAGATTTTCGTCAAGACTTTTCTTACGTAAAAAAGACTATTCTTACAGCTGATTTCTTTTTAAAGAAAAAAATATTGCAGTAAAAATGTTTCTACTTCGCAGAAACTGATGATGATACAAAAATGAGTTGAAACGCTCTACTTTATTGACTTATCGATACAAAAGAACCTCGACTGAAACGTCGACTGACTCACAATCAGTGGCTCATAACGATGCGTCAACCGATTTCGTTTCTCAGGTAAAATGTGTCACTTAATTCGAATCCATCGTAACGATAACCCAATACGATCATTTCCTCATTATCTATCTCCACGCGTCCAGTGAGAATTCCATCCACATAATGGAACAGTGAAAACCTTTTCACTCATCAAGAAATGCGCGTTAAACAATACCGGCAAGCGTTACCTCATAACGATAAGGAAAGGCGTGAGGAAATGCAAGGAAAGCATTACGTGCTTTCGATTTCAATGAACGGGAAAATTCCGTGAAAACATATGAGCGTGCACTGAGGAACACAAAGTTTTTTGAAAAGTGCGTCTTTATTTATTAAAAAAACTCGTGGCTTGAAAATTTTCAAGAGCAAAATATCTCGTACTAAGAAGAAAAAACTGTCGTCAAGAAATTTTGGACTTATACTAAAGACGAGGACTTCTTGATGACAAGAAAGAGATTTCTCAAACCAAGAAAAATTGAATGAATTCATTCATTTTTTAGCCTCAATTCTGAAATATTTTGATGAAAAAATCTATTGAATTTATTTGAGAACTTGTTTTCGTGATATGAACCAATTGCCCTCATCTTGTGGAAGTGTAAAATTTCTTGGCCTACACGGTTAGAAAATTACTCTTGAAATTTCAAGTAAAATTCTTGAAATTTTTCACAACGAATAATTTACATGGAATTTCCATCGATTTTGGTTATTGATAAATCAGTCAATGTTCTTGAATATTCAATGAAATTTGATTTCTTAGGTTCATACGACAATGAAAATTACTGAAAATCACGAAAATTCAGGGAACTTTTCTTCAGAAGTTTCAATCGTCATTGAAAATTCAATGATCATTCATAAGAAAAAACTTAATTTTATTGAATTTCCAAGATGAGTCACGAATTCCATGAGCAATTTAGCCTGAAATTGCTCAGAATATTGACAATTCAAATGCATCTGATACTTAAATTTCAAAAAAACTCCAACAGTGTAAGGTATTTTTTCTTAGTGAGAGATATTACGCACTTGGTAATTCTCAAGTCATGAATCTCTTGATAGGGGAGGGTGGGGCAAAACGGCCCCCCTTCAATTGTCAATAACTTGTGAATGACATTGTGAAAATTCCCAGTTTCAACTTTATTTTGAAGATAATTCTTCATTCTTCAAAACGAGCTCTAACTCATCCCAATCGGATTATTGAATCGGAAAATATTGACGATTGAAGGGGGGCCGTTTTGCCCCATCCTCCCCTACAAATAAAGACGTAGGGTGAACAGCCCAATTACTGGACGGTTAATGAAAGTTCGAGTTTCGTGTTAGTATCTAAAATAAAACAATCACTTAAATGGGGATACAATGGCTTCACACCTTCAAGAATGTTTCAATCAGCAAAAAAAAATTATTCGAAGGGAAAATACCAAAACAAAGAATAATTAGGGGAGGGTGGGGTAAAATGGACACTAGATTTTTTTTTAATTATTCATAACTCAGAAACAAATTTATCAATTGAGCTAAGTTTAGGCTCATCACAAAGGGAAAGAGTTGTTCTTCGTATTGAAAAAAAATATTAAATCTCATCAACATTTCAACCCCTCATTAACACTTGAAAAAAAATCAAGTGTCCGTTTTACCCCAACCTCCCCTAATTAAAGAAATTCTTGACTGGGCCATATTTTTTAAATTCATTAAATATCGATCAATAGAAAAAATAATTGATCCCATGATTGTACACGAGTTTTCCTTCTATTTCTGGAATATCCATTGCAACTTGAAATCGTCCAGAACTAACCCCCGTCCAGAAATTGACCTGTTTACCCTAACGGGTAATTCGGGGTGTCAAGAGGATGTCTCGAGCATCCTTATTACCCCCATCCCCTCCGACGATAATTCCTCAACGAAACAAATCAACGCAGAAACAATTTTCTGGCGAATTATCCGGGGTTTTGAAAAACGCCCTTTACCCGGACTCACCGACGACTGGGATAAAGGGAGTGGATCAATTGACGGATAAACAATGAGGCAAATCCCCAACGAAGGGGTGACAAAGGGCCCAAATGGGCCCTCAGTTGTGCCCCACAAACTCCGAATCATTCGATATTTCCTCCGAATTATAAGAATTTTTTAAACTCACGTCATGGTCGTTGAGCTGGGGGGTAAGTGCTATGCCCTCATGCACAATGAATTTCTTCCTCTGCACAGTATATCACTGATACCATGAAAACACGCAAGATTCGGACACGATTTACGATAATTCGACATAAATAATAACAGTACTCAGTTGTAAACTGCAATACGATTGTTTAAATAAAAAGTTTAACTGTTCGCACACACAACAAAACACTGGAATTTTATTTTTTTTGTTCAACACTCGTATGATTTTTGGTACACCCTACCGCTGGCACATCTGGCCGGCCATATTGCCGACTATCGCGTTGAATGTGTTCCCCCTTGGTGCGGCGGTGCAGACTCGTCAACGAGTGGGAGAGAGAGTGAGAGAGATCGCTAAACTCTCGGTTTTTAACTCGGGACTGCCGCTGTCTTTGTTCGGTAAACGGGCTGCGGGTAGCGCTGTCGCGGCGAACGACGTTCGAGGCATCGATAGTATCGACGCAGACTGCGATATTCGAGAGGGCTTGGAGGGGCGGATTGTGTTGGCGACGAGCGCTGCTCTTCCGAGAACGGCGGTCACTGGAATTTTCGGAAGCAACATCGCGGAACTCTATCGATAAATATTATAGAGCTGCGGGACACCCTCGATTTTCAGACATGTACCGACCACCCGCGTTCTAATGCGTAATTCTTGTTTTAAACAGTCAAATACGATCACTGAACGTCAAGTAAACAATTTTTAATTAATTTTAGGCATTGGAATTATTTACTATTTTTTTTTATTTTATTTTTTTTTTATTAACGCCTCCGGATCCTGGGGTGGGTTCATTCGGCTTAAAAAAAAAATTTAGTACATCGAGTTTTAGCATATTTTATACCTTGATTGTGCAATTTTTCAAAAACTTGGAAATACATTTGATATCTTTGTAATTCATGACGTTGAGAATTTTTTCTATTTTGTATGGTCTTCCGTTGGTTCTTCTTATCTGTTTGATGAGGGCAATTATTTATTATTAACAATTAAATTGTTCAAATCACCCTAGCACCCAAACTATGAAGTATAGACAAAAATTTTCAAATCGTAAATCATCGAGAATTTAATAAGGAATAATTTTTGTCTGTTATCAATTTTACGTATCTCTCATAGATTCCAAGATATGAGCAATAAACTAGTTACGCGACATAGCGCTCTCTGCTTGCGGCGTGCCGTGGGCTTGAGAGCGTTGGGTTGGGCCACGCAACTCTTTCCTTGTTCATATTTCGAAATCAAAGGGAGATATGTGAAATTGACAAAAGACAAAAATTATTCCTCATCAAATTCTAAATGATTCGCGATCCGAAAATTTTCGTATATCTGTCATAGTTTGGATGCTAGGGCGATTTGAACAATTAAATTGTTGATAATAAATAGTTGCAATGCCTAAAATTAATTGGAAATTGTTTAGTTGACGTTCTGTGATCATAGTTTATTGTTCAAAAAAGAATTACGCATTAGAACGCGAGTGGTCGGTCGGTCAATTTAGAGGCGCTTTTTGGGGGTGCTCCGCAGCTCTATTATTGTTGGTGAGGAATTCGGATTTTCTCTTCAATGGGTGGGAGAACGATGGAGTTCTCTGATGAATTCAGTTTTTTTCCCAATGGTTTGAGATTTTATTCAGCCAATAGAAATGAAACTCATTATTTAATCAGTTTGTAGTTTGTTGTTTAGTAGAATTTACTAATTTAAAGGTCCAATCTGGGACACGAAGAAAATAACAAATAATATAATGAGCAAATGAATAAATGAATAACAAAATAAACATAGCAATGCAAACCGACCAAAAGCAACTATGATGTAATTAAATGACAATAAAAACAACATTTCGAATTATTCATTTTAGTAATAACATTATTATACTTTATATTTATTTAATTTGATCCTGTAATTGGTCGTGTGCTCTTGGATTTCTATCTGTATGAAATAAAAATGAAATTGAATGAAATTAAATTTAATTGTCTATAAAAAATAACTTGTGACATTTTTCGCAAAAATCCCGAGTTATTGAGATTTTCGTATTTAGATTAGACATGTCAAACGTGCCACTGCATCATTGACTGAGTATATTTTTGTCTGCAGTAAATATTTTTGTATACGAACGCCGGAGTTCCCTGACGAATTAATCATTATTCCCAATGATTTGAGATTTTATTCAGCCAATAGAAATCAAACTAATTGTTTCCTCATCTCCATATTTCCAAATTTCAGGAGAAAACAGGAATTATTTTATTGACACCTAGAATTTAATTGTATTTTATATTTATAGGGGTGGGTGGGGTAAAATGGACACTTTAGACTTTTTTAAAATTATTCATAACTCACAAACANATTTACTTGTCTGCAAAAAACACCTTATCGCATTTTTCGCCAAAATCCCGGATATCAAGATTTTCGAATTCAGATTAGAGACGTCAGTCAGACGTGACTTTGAGCATCCGGTTGAACGACTTAGCGACTGTATTATTGACTGAGCAACAATGTTTTAGTTTCATTATCGAGCATACCGAGGCGCAATTGTTGTATCAATGCGAGGAACATGCGACGCGGTGTGCGTTCGACATATCCAAGTGGAAATATGTGGAAATTTTTCGTGTACAATTGATGATCCGCAGTCGCGGAGTTCAACGCACAATTGTGTCTAAATAACTCAGTGGTTGTGCAGTTAATCGCTGAGATAATCACAGAATATTGAAACAATCGTTATTGATGGGGCCTAATGTCGAGTGGAGAGTGGAATGATTCTGTTTTTGTCAGTTCTGCGAAAAACGCACTTGTGCAACGCCATTTTGTGAGCACGCACGGTGGAGACGTAAACATCAAACTTTCTAATCGTGTTTATTGGGCCGCCGTTATGTCATTATTCGGTGTGATAAGGGTTTAGGGGTGACAGTGGATATCTGGGGAATAGTGGGTGGATTTGGGGGAGAAGTGGATTGATTGGGGACACATTAGGCTGCACTCGGAGGAGTTGTTTTCGCGCCAATTCGAATCAAGATATGCACCTGGTACGTCTGGCTCTCGGGAACAAACAGCTGGCCAGTCGACGTTAATGCTGGATTTTTGGCGTTTCATTGACCATTGTCAGGAGGATATTTGTCACCAATTCGCAGAGGTATTTTGTCCAGGGCGGATTGATGGTGTTTTGGCTGCAACTCCACTCTGACAATATTGGAGCACTCCGATTATTGCCAAGTGGAGCAGGCCTTGCGGTGAATGGTGACGATTGAAATGTTAATTGAATCTGATTAAATCCATTAATTTCAATTGTAGGACGAAAAAAAATTGTTGTTTTGAGATTTTAAAAATCTTATATTGAGACTGGAAAGTCTGAACTTGCGGCTTTTGAGAGGTTCAAATAGGGATTTTCAAGTCTCAATTTGAGACTCAATTTGATGATGATAACTGAAATGTTAATTGAATTTGGTTAAATCTATTAATTTCAGTTGCATGACCAAAACAATTATTATTTTGAAATGTTAAAGATGTTAAATTGAGATTTTTGAAAGGCTCAACTTGAAATAAAAAAATTCTTATTTTGAGGTTTTAAAGATCTTCAATTGAGACTTTTGAAAGTCTCAACTTGAGACTTTCGAAAGGATTAAATGGAGATTTTCAAGTCTCAATTTGAGACGCAATTTGATGATGACGACTGAAATGTTAATTGAATCTGATTAAATCCATTAATTTCAATTGTAAGACGAAGAAAATTGTTATTTTGAGATTGGAAAAATCTTATATTGAGACTGGAAAGTCTGAACTTGCGGCTTTTGAAAGGTTCAAATAGGGATTTTCAAGTCTCAATTTGAGACTCAATTTGATGATGATAACTGAAATGTTAATTGAATTTGGTTAAATCTATTAATTTCAGTTGCATGACCAAAACAATTATTATTTTGAAATGTTAAAGATGTTAAATTGAGATTTTTGAAAGGCTCAACTTGAAATAGAAAAATTCTTATTTTGAGGTTTTAAAGATCTTCAATTGAGACTTTTGAAAGTCTCAACTTGAGACTTTCGAAAGGATTAAATAGAGATTTTCAAGTCTCAATTTGAGACGCAATTTGATGATGACGACTGAAATGTTAATTGAATCTGATTAAATCCATTAATTTCAATTGTAAGACGAAGAAAATTGTTATTTTGAGATTGGAAAAATCTTATATTGAGACTGGAAAGTCTGAACTTGCGGCTTTTGAAAGGTTCAAATAGGGATTTTCAAGTCTCAATTTGAGACTCAATTTGATGATGATAACTGAAATGTTAATTGAATTTGGTTAAATCTATTAATTTCAGTTGCATGACCAAAACAATTATTATTTTGAAATGTTAAAGATGTTAAATTGAGATTTTTGAAAGGCTCAACTTGAAATAGAAAAATTCTTATTTTGAGGTTTTAAAGATCTTCAATTGAGACTTTTGAAAGTCTCAACTTGAGACTTTCGAAAGGATTAAATAGAGATTTTCAAGTCTCAATTTGAGACGCAATTTGATGATGACGACTGAAATGTTAATTGAATCTGATTAAATCCATTAATTTCAATTGTAGGACGAAGAAAATTGTTATTTTGAGATTTGAAAAATCTTATATTGAGACTGGAAAGTCTGAACTTGCGGCTTTTGAAAGGTTCAAATAGGGATTTTCAAGTCTCAATTTGAGACGCAATTTGATGATGACGACTGAAATGTTAATTGAATCTGATTAAATCTATTAATTTCAATTGCATGACCAAAAAAATTCGTATTTTGAAATTTTAAAGATCTTCAATTGAGACTTTCGAAAGGATTAAATAGAGATTTTCAACTCTCAATTTGGGATGACGACTGAAATGTTAATTAAATCCGATTAAATCCATTGATTTCAATTATACACCCAGACAAAAACCTTATTTTGAGATTTTAAAGATTTTAAATTGAGACTTTTGGAAGTCTCATCTTGAGACTTTCGAAAGGATTAAATAGAGATTTTCAAGTGTCAATTTGAGACTCAATTTGATGATACGACTGAAATGTTAAATAAATCTGATTAAATCCATTGATTTCAATTGTACACACCGTAAAAAATCCTTATTTTGAGATTTTTAAGGTCTTAAATTGAGACTTTTGGAAGTTTCAACTAGAGACTTGAACTGTCGAATCTTCACCTGAAATATTCAAAAGTGTCAACTTGAAACTTTCAGCGGTTTTAAAGTAGTCTATCCAAACTTTACAAAGTGTTTTAGTGCAAGGAGGAAAAATGAATTTAAAATGCCTGAAATAAAAATTATTCGTCATTAACAATTTCTCCTAAACTGACAATTGAGCACGAACTCGACCAGAAGGTTTTTATTCACATCAACTCCCGTTTAGAATTTATTTCAAATTTTCATCTTCAAAATTTAAGTTATGGACTTATACTACTTTTAAATTTTCAAATTTTCAATCATCAAATTTGTCAATTAAATTGCGTGAGAAAAATTTGAAAAAAATCAAGACTATTCAGCGTCATTCAAATTACATTTTACACAGTATTATTATTTTTTAAATATTCGTTGTTTGTGAATAAATAAGTGAATACTTTCGGACACCTTATTTTTTAGACATGAAATCGATTTATCGTAAAATTTTGAATACGAACAAACTCCTTACGATTCTGAACGAATGATTTTTATAGTGGAAAATTAATTGTTCATAATTTTTTAATTATTTTATCAATCTTTCCCCAAAAGTAAACTTCCTATTTTTTTATAGCTTTTTTAAATGTTTTCTAAGAGTTCAATACCGAGATTCAAATTCAGATATGCAAAGTTTAAATAATAAAATCATTGTAAAATGTCCGCCAATTTAGGGTGAAATCGGGCTCAAATGAAAGCTCTGATATTAGACTACAAAAGTAGAAAAACATTTCACTGGGGAAAAAATAGCCAAACTACTTGGATATCCTTAAATTGAAACTTTCTAAAATCCCAAGGTGAGAGTTTCCCAACTCAATTTAATATTTTCAAAACTGTCAATTTGAGCTCGTGAATCTCCAACTGAAACTTGTTATTTTTTTTTGTACACTACATTGAGCCGAACAACCTGAACGCGTCCTCCAAACTCCAGTCCTCCCCCCAAAAGCAATCCACCGCCCCAAAAACTTCTTCACCTAATGCGACTCTCCCATTCCAGATACCCCCAACAGACTCAGAAGAGTCAATTTCCGAGTGATGCACCGACTCCAACCCAGTGTTGATGTCAGAAAGAAATAAAAGATGTCTGGCGATTCAGGCTGGAATGCCGTTATCCATCACCCATCGGAGTTGGAGTTACAAAATTGGAATTGGGACGACAACGATCATGACCAAGAGCGCGAGCTCCCCTCAACGGTAGACATGGACGCAATAAAGGGAGGGGGCAGTTGGGACCCATCAAATGGCCACAACGAGACCGACTCAGTGGACTCAGAGGAGGACTCCGACTCAGACGACGACAGTTCAGCGGGCTCCGATGGCAGTTACTCCTACTCCGACTCTGAATCAGACGACGACACAAGTGGGGACGACTCAGGCTCCAACTCCGACTGCTCATCAGAGCACAGTGAGCAGACATTTCTCATCAGAGAAACGAACTTCGAGCCTGGCTCCCTGAAGTTGAAGATCAGCATGAAGGCGCAGAAGAAAGAGGAGGCAGAGAAGAAGAGCCAGGAGAAGCCCAAGCGAATAACAACGAGAAAATCAAAAGTGTGCAACGCCAAGACGTCTGAGTGTCTGACCGAGGACTCGGACTCGTCGGCAGGTCCAACGAGTGTGAATCCCTCGTCCTCAGGCCAAACACAGTCAGCACCCCAGCCCCTGCAGGAGCTGAACCAAGAGCACTTGTCAGCAATTCTCCCAGAGCAGGAGGACACCCCCTTCGACGGTTTCGAGGACTCTGAGAGTGGCAGACTGGTCTCCAAAGCCATCGAGCGCATGTCCCTGGGGGCTGACTCAGACTCCAGTGACAACGTCAACGAGAACCCAGTCCCAGTCTACAGTTCCACGTTACTCCAGCAATTCGTCGAGAAGACGCAGCTCCTGTCCGAGCCCCGAAAGCGAAGAAGTAAATTGGTGAAGAAGACTAATGAAACTGAGTACCCATGCATCTCGAACGTCTCCCCAGACTCTGGCATCCAATCAGTGGACAACAGTCCCCTCCACTTGGCTGTCCCAACGAGTCCTGGACCCTCGCAGTCTCCAGTGCAATCAGCTCCAGTAAAACCAGCTGTAAACGTCGACAGAGTGCTTTATCCCCCAAAAAGAAAGCCAGGGCGACCCTCGAAAACTGTCTCGAGCCAGCCTCGAGGTCCTGGCAGGCCAAAAAGTACCGACAAACTCGATAAAATCGAGGGAGCCAAGAGTCCACCCCTCGAGGCTAAAAAGGAAGAGCCAAAAAATTCGAAAACCACGTCAAAGTGTGTTAAAAACGTTAAACAATGCGCTAAAAATCAAAGGTTAAAGACTAATGTTAAAAAACCCAGTCCCCAGAACGATGATGCATCTTCTGATAATGTTAATGAACAAACTTCCGTGGATAAGTGCCTCAGTAATGTAAAGAAAGTTAATAAAGAGAGTAGTAAAACGTGTGAACAAGTGTGTACAAACGTCAAGCAAGTCAAGAGCGTTGAAGCACCCAAGAGTATTAACACATCGCCATCTCGACAGAAAGTTAATGCTGACTCGGTGGCCGAGGAGAAGACAATTCGAAAGAGCTCGAAGGAAAACAGGCTGGAGACGTCACCCCAGAACAACAAGAAGCAGATCTCCACGAAGAAGTCCCTTCCCCCGGCCCCAAGAAGAGTCCTAAAAGAGAACAAAAGCAGCAAGAAAGCTTCGGAGACGAACGTCGTCGGTGTCCAGACAGTCATATCACTTCCAATCGACCTGAAGCCAAAATCACCTGAGAAAAACACCTTCAAATGTGATAAACTGATGCAGCCAGCCTTGAAGAATCGCCACAAGCACCATCACAAGCATCGCCGAAGAGTAGTCATTCCCCCAAAGACCCCGATACGAGTCGATCCCTCGGTCGTCGAGGAGCTCGAGAAATTGATCCAAGACTTTGCCAGTGCCTGTAGTTTAGGAAGAAACAATACAAATTCAAGCAACTCAGAGTTGCCCCAGATATTTCGTGTGAAGAAGATAACGAAGAAGAGAAAGGGCGAGAGTAATTCCAGTGAAGATCAGAAATTGAAGAGAAGACTGAAGAAGGAGAAGCCGTCGAGTGATTTGAAGAGCAGTCAGAATGCTGCACCATCCAATCCGAATGAGCAGAGGCTTCCGCTGAAAAAACGACACTACCATCTGTCGAGTCCCCACAGCTCCCAGAGTTCGAACGCCAGTTGTACAGAGACAAATCCGAACGAGTCGAATTCTATGGAGAGTCACATTGAGGAGGCCATCGAGGCGACCATCGAGAGATACAGCAGCCCCGGGGGTCCCCACCAGAAGGAGATCGACTCGATGACCCTGAAGAAGAGACTGAGGGAGGCAGAGACGACAGCCCCATCGATCTCAGCCCCCAGCGACAGCTCTGACGAGGGCAAACCGTTGAACAGATTAGAACCTCCAAGAAGAAAAAAGAAAATAGTCAAGGATCTGCGAGTCACCGTCACCAAACTGTCCTCTGACGGTCACTCCCCCATGCCAGATAAGCCAGAAACTCGAACCAGCGACAAAAAGGCGTCTGAGAAGCCCACGAGGACCGACAAAACGTCCGATAAGAGCAAAACAACTGGAAGAGAAGCCGAAAAGCCTGAACCTAAGGATGAAACCACAAGCTCCAAGACCTCCGACGCCAAAACCCCTGATAAGAAAGACAAAAAGGACGTGACTGCAGTTTCAACAGCAGCAGACCCAGCAGTTCCCCCAGTGGTGAAGAAGAAGATCAAAAGAAGAAAGGCGATAAACCGCACTGGCTTCCCGACCCTGAAGAGGAAGAAGAAGAAGAAGCCCCCCGAGGCGCCTCCAGAGCCCCCTGCAGCGCCTGACGTCCCCCCAGACCTCGAGATTTCGAAAATCGACGAGAAATCAGTCGGCTCCGAGGCCGACGCCCACCCCCTGCCGCCGAAGGGCGACGACTCCAAAGAAACCGACGACGAGACTCCCCTCGAGCTGAAGGACTACCACGAGTTGTCCTGTCACAGCTTCTCCTCGGACGTGGACACCTGCCCAGGGCACCTCCGCCTTCGCCGAGACCTGGTGGAGTGCGACGGCAGCAGGCCCTGCGACAAGCTCTGCCCAGTGAAATTCGACAAGATCCAGGACTCGAGGATTTACGACGAGAACGCGACCCTCGAGGAGTCCCTGGAGCGTTACAACCAGAGCCAGAGAATAGCGGAACTGAGCGAGGAGAACGTGAAGAAGCTGGACCGAGCCAACTCCCACATGAGGCTGGAGCTCTCAGGCTGCCTGAACAACAACCACAAGCGTCGCAGGGGATCCATCAGCCCCTGCAACTTGACCCTGAGGAGCATAAAGCGCCTGAGGAACGCGGGCTACGACACGGAGAGCGACGCCCTCCCCAGCAGTGACGTCGCCAGTGACGAGCCCGAGCTGGGGAAGCAGCAGGGCTCCTCCCACACCCGACGAAAGCAGCCGAGGTGGAAGAAGCGGTACCTCCCAGCGGGGCTGTTCTCGGACTACTATAAGGACGACGAGCCGAGGAAGCTGTCCACCACAGACGGCAAGAAGCTGACGTACGACCCAGCTGAGCACCCCCACGGCCTCCTGCCGCCGCCCTACCACTGCGGGAAGTTCCTGCGCCAGCGAAAACTCCCCTTTCAGCTGCCCTACGACCTCTGGTGGCTGCACACCCACTCGAGGCTCCCCGGGAGGGACCTGGTGCCCTCCTGGAACTACAGGAAGATCCGGACAAACATCTACTACGACGTCAAGCCCACGACCCTCTACGAGGCGCAGGGCTGCGAGTGCAAGCCCAGCTCGGGCTGCGGTGACGACTGCATCAACCGCATGGTCTTCAGCGAGTGCGCACCCCAGCTCTGCCCCTGCGGGGAGAAGTGCGAAAACCAGAAGATCCAGAGGCACGAGTGGGTCCCAGGACTCCAGCGATTCATGACGGAGAGCAAGGGCTGGGGGGTGAGGACCAAGGACTCCATCAAGTCTGGAGTCTTCATCCTGGAGTACGTGGGGGAAGTCGTCTCCGAGCGGGAGTTCAAGGCCAGGATGGCGACTAGGTACGCCAATGACACTCACCACTACTGTCTCCATCTGGACGGAGGGCTGGTGATCGATGGGCACAGGATGGGTGGGGATGGAAGATTCGTCAATCACTCGTGCGAGCCCAACTGCGAGATGCAGAAGTGGAGTGTCCACGGCCTCCCGAGGATGGCTCTGTTCGCACTGAGGGACATTAGACCTGGGGAGGAGCTCACTTACGACTACAATTTCGCTCTGTTCAACCCCTCGGAGGGGCAGGAGTGCAGGTGCGGGAGCAACGGCTGTCGAGGGGTGATCGGGGGGAAGAGCCAGCGAGTCGCCAGGAGTGCGCCAGCCCCGCCCCAGGTGGAGCCCCCTGAGCGCAAGTCTGTTGGTCGTCCCAGGAAGAACATTCGAAAGTCCAATATCGTCCAGTCGGCGTCGAAAGGCCTCTGCAAAACCCGGAAAATGGGAGATTCAAGTCTGATCAGCACTCCAACGATGAAGCCAATGTCGCATCAGCAGAGGTGCTTCGCCCAGCAGCACCACTGCTTCCTGCTGAGGAATCTGGAGAAGGTGAGGAGAATGAAGGTGCCTCTGGTCCAGCCGGCGCCGGTCACTGGGAAAGCCAAAGATAAGGCGGCTCCGGCTGTCAAGGAGAAGCCACCGGCTGAGAAGAATCATTCGGACGCATTCTTCACGCAGCTGAATGCTCTCACGAATAATGCTTCGAGGACAGTGAGAACTCGCAGTCTAGCACAGGCGCAGGACGACCCTGAAGTCAGCAAGACAGCTAAACTGGCGAAAGTCTTGAAGGATCTGTACACAGTGGTGTCGTCAGCTAATGACGAGAATGACTCCCCTCTGTGCACACCATTCATCACTCTCCCGTCGAAGAGAAAGTTATCGGAGTACTACGAGAAAGTTCAGGACCCAGTCGACCTCACGATGATTGAGCAGAATATTGGAACGGGCCATTACAAGACAGCCGAGCAGTTCGACCAGGACATCATAAAATTATTCGATAACAATGTCAAGTTCTTTGGACGAACCTCGGAGATTGGTATTGCTGCAGCCAGACTGCGTAAGCTTTATCTGGGGAGCAAGGCTGATTTTATTGATGCAATCACTGAAGCCACTGGGGCACCACCTGCTCAGGGCTTTCTACCGCCCCAGGGGTCGACAGCTGGCGAGGAGGACGTTATCAGGTGCATATGTGGACTACACAGGGACGAGGGACTCATGATACAGTGCGAGAGGTGCCTCGTGTGGCAGCACTGCGATTGTGTCAAAGCTGACACGAGTGTCGAGTCTTATTTGTGCGAGAGGTGTCAGCCGAGGGAGGTCGACCTGGAGATTCCGCTTGAGGGGGAGGAGGAGGAGGGGAAGAAGCATTTTGTGACGCTTCTCAGGGGGGAGCTGCAGCTGAGGCAGGGGGACACTGTCTACGTGCTGAGGGACACCCCGGAGAAGCACACGTACAAGACTATTCAGAAGTTTGATTATGAGCAGATGGATATATTCAGGATTGAGAGGCTCTGGAAGGATGACAAGGGGGAGAGGTTCGTGTTTGGGCATCATTATTTGAGGCCTCATGAGACTTATCATGAGCCCACTAGGAAGTTTTATGAGAATGAGGTGGTGTGCGCACCGCTTTATGAGGCTGTGCCCTGTGATCTGGTCGCGGAGAGGTGCTGGGTCCTGGATCCACACACGTTCTGCAAGGGGAGACCTGTTGGGGCCACTGCGCAACACACTTATGTGTGTGAGTATCGAGTGGATCGCGCTGCCAGGCTATTCACCAAGGTCGCTAGGTCCAGGCATCATGTCTGCACGAAACCCTATGCTTTTGAGGTGTTCCCGCAGAGGATCAAGCACTATCGTACTTATTTGGTGAGTTTTGCCTAGGAATGGAAGCCTTGGTTTTGATCGATTTTTGGATTTTGTAATTTTTATTGCAAGGGGTCTAGCATCTTATGAAGAAAGGAAATGTCACACGTTTGTTCCTAAAGATGTGAAAGAGGAATCGCATACACACACGAAAAAATTTAATAGAAAAACCTATCGAATTCGCTAGAAAATTCTACTGAATTTCTATTAAACTTTCTGTTAGTTTTTGACTGATTCTATTGATGTTCAATAGAAAAAGTCAACAGAATTCGATTTTTCTATATAGAATTAGCTCGACTCAAATTTTCTGAGTTTTTTTCATCCTATTTTTCTTTTTTTCTCATCAAGAAAATCAAACGAAAAAACTTAGAAAATTTGAGCCGAGGAAATTCTGTAGAAAATATCTCAATAGAATAAGTTATATAGAAAAATTGAATTCTATTGACTTTTTTACTGAATATTTTCTATTGAACATTTTAATAGAATCGGCCAAATACTAATAGAACAGTTCAATACAAATTCAATAGAATTTTCTAACGAATTCGATAGGTTTTTCTATTAAATTTTTTCTTCCGTGTATTGATCTTACTGATGGCGCTGATGATGTTGGTTTTGGTGATTGCCAACGGAGTATGTATTGATTTTCAATTGAAGTTTTCATGGATTTCGACGAATTTTTCAAGGACTCTCAATAGAAGTTTCGATAAGTTTCCATGGAAAATCCTTCGCTATCTGATGTACGTTTTCATAGCTTTCTTCGTATCTCCTATTGATTCTCGATGGACATTTCCATCCCTTTGCATTAAAAAAAAACGTGGATTTCCAATAGAAATTTTCATCGGTTCCTACGAATTTCTCCTTGGTAATACTATAGAACTTCGTATACGTGAAAGAACATATTGATTCCCATCAACTTAAATAATAATGTCATGAATCATCCAAACTTCATCAAATTGTTGGATCTCGTGTTAAGAAACGTGAAGAAATGATGTTTTAGGGTCAATATGGCAATTTGGATTTTTTTAAATAGAGGTCCAAGGTATTTGTCAGATTTTGTATGATTCAATTTCGGTGGATTTTACAGCCACACAGCTTGGAGGGCATTCAGTCCAGCAAATCGATCAAAGATAAGAAGAAGAGCTCTTATCCAGATCCTGATCACAATCACAAGGCGGAGGGGAGTGAGGGGAAAATCAATGGAAAGGACCAGATTAAATCAGTTAATAAGGCTCGACGTAGGTCGTGTGAAGAACACAGGATTACGCCAGCTGTTTCATTTGCTCAGGTAATTTTTCATCAACTAATTAATCACTGTTGAGGTTTATACCTCTTGCTTGCCTTCTAAAAAGTTCTGCTTAAGGGGAGCGGATGTCCCTATCACGCTGATGATTTTAGTTCTCATTTTTTATACTCAAAAAACGATAAAAAATCGAGTTTTAATTTTTCTCTGTCCGCATGTGGCTGTAGAGGGATTAAATTTTTAGAATAGTCCCCTTAACCAGGATTTATAATGGATTAACTGAAATTTTGGTTACAACATAAATAATATAGTGACGAAAAAAAAAAGTGTTTTTTGATTTTTTTTTTGCTCTGGATTGGTAGAGACAATAATCTTGTAGTATGATACAAATTGAAGGCCACGATGCATCAACAAACAACAATTGAAAAAAAAAATTTTTGATCATTGATTCATTCATTACAAAACTGCCATACTAATAATCAAAAAAATTTTTTTTAATTGTAATTCATTGACGTGCCATAGCCTTCAATGTGTACCATACTAAAATCCGATTGCCTCTATCGATTCTGAGAAAAATCGAAAGAATCGAGAAATTGGAATTAAAAAAAAAACATTTTTTTCCTCAATATCAGGGATCGGCATCAATAATATAATAATAGATAATTTAAATTTTCAGTCGACTACGAACTAAATAATTGACAAAATAGAATTTTCAATTCACAACTGAGTAAATATTTCCAAATTGCATAAAATTGATTGATAAATTAATTCGGAATTTGAATGTTTAATTGATAATGAAATTAATAATTAAAAAATTGATGAGTAATATAAACAATTGACTTATTCAAAATTTAAGTTTAATTAAAATTTATGATTACGCCAATGTCTGGTCAACATATTATGTGCGTGGAATCCATAATTCAAGTCAATCCATCACAAATCCTCGTAAGGGAACTATTTTAACGATTTTATGACTGTACAGCCACATGTCGTCATTGGAAAAAATTGAAACTTGATTTTTTCTCAATTGTTGATCATAAAAGAAAGTGCTAAAGTTACCTGTTTTACAGAGACAACTCCCTGCAACTTTTTCCCAAAAAAAATGACGAAATCTTCATTCGTATAATCTAAGAATATTATTTTCACCCGCAAGCATCTCATGTACAATTTTAACTCTTGATTACCAGAGGGAGGAACAACGCAAGAGACTGAACGGAATATTAACGAATCTGCTTCAAAGAATGCCAAACAAGAAGGATCCTCTGGACATGTCATTCCTGCTGGAACGTAACCGACGAAATCGCAAGAGACCAATGGCATCGAGTCAGTGATCCTCGATGAGAAAATGAACTCCTTCATCCATCATGAACAATCTCCAGCGAAATCGGCTGCAATCCATTCTCTCAGACTATTCTAGACCGTCTAGACGTGTATGTACAAAAACCATCTAACAATCATGTCTTTACACATCTATCCCGTCCATTTATCTTACGTAATAATTCAAATGACTACTTTCCAGTAACGAGAACCTCTATTCGATGTTGTGGGAATAATAGGAATCCATCAATTTTGTACCCTATATCATCGTCTCATTTCTCCATAATTTTTATCTATTTGCTTCCTAATCATCTCAAATTGGGTGCACGGTCTAAAAAATTTACAAGAAATATGTACAGAGTTATTTGTAAATTATTTCCAATTTTTATTAGAGAAAATCAAACGTTGTTAAGATCTTATAGTTGAATGTACAAATTATAAAATGAGGGACAAGTTTTGAGTATTGCAGGAAAATGGAAAATTAAGAGTGCGTGAGTAGCGCTGAGGTAGCTTTGTTGCACAAAAATTGATAATTAAAAAAAAAAATGGAATATTATATTTTTCATAATCCCCCGGTGTTATCGGATGTAAAGTAGAAATTAAATTGATAGACGAGAAAAGCTCTACTTATCTATTTAAATTATTAAAAATTATTATTCATCATTGATCGAGATGATTATTTTACAGCGGCCAGTTGAGGCTCCCAAAATGTGTCTTTTTTTCTTGGAATGCGAAAATGTAAATATTTCATCATGAATATTTATTATTATTATTATTATATTGATTATATTATATTATTATTATTATTATCATGATTATCATAATTATTTTTACGTTGAATAACGCTTGTTGCGACATACCTACGATCCCCTTGACGATCACAAATGCACACTGCACATGCCTGAATGCCAGATGATTTTTAACGATTAGTTATTAAAGACTCCATGTACCTTTTTATAAAGAAATGAAAAAGAAAAAAAATTCTTTGTTCGATAAATTAACCATGACTATAAAAAATAATTTATCGGTAACAATTATCGATTTGTTGTTGCACTTTATTTTGTGGAATTGAAATTGAAGTTTGGTAAAATTGATAATTATGAATCGAGGTTGAATATGGCTCTTTTGAGATGTAATTTTTAATTTTTTTTTGTTTATGATTTTTTTTGTTCTCACATTGATTCGTATAGTTTTTACCTCACTGTGTTTTTGCCATTTGAATGCTCTATCGTTTGACGGATTGAGGAGGAGCTTGATCCGTGGGTTTTGAGGGTTTTAGTTTCTCCATCAGATAGTTGAAACAAATAGCGAAGATAAATAGAATGAATCTCCATTACACGCAAATTTTCATCGTTTACTTAATATTTTCAGCTATGTCAATAATTTTGAAATGAAAGAAACAGTTAAATATGATCCGTTGCAACGGCAGCTTCATGCTAATTTAATAATGTACATTGTATACAAACTACTGTATTCTTTTTCTGGAGAACATAAATAGATGTTTAAAAATGCAGAGTGCGGCCTTTTATGATCCCATCCAATCCCCCCATAACAATCAATGGTTGACTTATACAAGACATCTTCTTTATTTTACGAATGAGTTTATACATTCTTATTAACAAATAGGGTCATAGAGTTATCCTCGATTTACTCGGTACTCGTGTCCCTATTTTCCACATGTTCATGTCAAAAAATTACATGAATTTGGAGAAGAATTAAATACACACCTACCAAATGCTTCGTATAATTTTTCCTCACTGTGTTCCTGCCATTTGAATGCTCTATCGTTTGACCAAATGAGTAGGAGCTTGATCCGTGGGTTTTGAGGATATTTTAGTTTCTCCATCAGATAGTTGAAATGAACAATGAAGAGAAATAGAATGAATCTCCATTACATGCAAATTTTCATCATTTACTTAATATTTTCAGCCATGTCAATAATTTTGAAATGAAAGAAACAGTTAAATATGATCCGTTGCAACGGCAGCTTCATGCTAATTTAATAATGTACATTGTATACAAACTACTGTATTCTTTTTCTGGAGAACCTAAATAGATGTTTAAAAATGCAGAGTGCGGCCTTTTATGATCCCATCCAATCCCCCCATAACAATCAATGGTTGACTTATACAAGACATCTTCTTTATTTTACGAATGAGTTTATACATTCTTATTAACAAATAGGGTCATAGAGTTATCCTCGATTTACTCGGTACTCGTGTCCCTATTTTCCACATGTTCATGTAAAAAAATTACATGAATTTGGAGAAGAATTAAATACACACCTACCAAATGCTTCGTATAATTTTTCCTCACTGTGTTCCTGCCATTTGAATGCTCTATCGTTTGACCAAATGAGTAGGAGCTTGATCCGTGGGTTTTGAGGATATTTTAGTTTCTCCATCAGATAGTTGAAATGAACAATGAAGAGAAATAGAATGAATCTCCATTACATGCAAATTTTCATCATTTACTTAATATTTTCAGCCATGTCAATAATTTTGAAATGAAAGAAACAGTTAAATATGATCCGTTGCAACGGCAGCTTCATGCTAATTTAATAATGTACATTGTATACAAACTACTGTATTCTTTTTCTGGAGAACCTAAATAGATGTTTAAAAATGCAGAGTGCGGCCTTTTATGATCCCATCCAATCCCCCCATAACAATCAATGGTTGACTTATACAAGACATCTTCTTTATTTTACGAATGAGTTTATACATTCTTATTAACAAATAGGGTCATAGAGTTATCCTCGATTTACTCGTTACTCCTGTCCCTATTTTCCATACATTCATGTAAAAAGATTGTGTTGGACTCGACGCAATTCATCCGTGTGAATTTCGAAAAGAATTTAATTATGATTTATCATCAAGACTACTGTACTTACATACCTATTGTCACTTAAATAATGTTCCTCTTACTCTTTTACTGCTGTTGTTTTCCTTAAAATATATCGCTCACATACATCATTCTCAATCGATTGTGATTCAAACTCTTCTATTCATACATTTCTACATTCAATTTTCTCGTAATCCTCAGTAATCTCAAATTTAGATTTCTCACGCTGTACAGCATTTCATAGAAAGTAATGAATAGTCGCAGCAAACAATATTTGCGGGGTTAGAATTGAATAACTAAAGATAATGATTAAAATAAATCATTTATGCCGAAATATCCATATTTGTCTGCAATATTGGGCATCCACTGGATTATATAATTTCCTCAATTAATTCTTCCCTATATACTTATAATTCAATGCTCATTAGGCGACGGATGGTGTCCTATGCCATTTTCAATGCACAATTTTTTAACAACAAGACTCACTGAATCAGTAAACAATACATGCAACAAATGAAGGACTGAAGTTTTCTGTCTCGATCGTGTGCTGAAGTTGAATGAAATTCCAGTAGTAAAAAAACATACGGTGACTGGTAACATATGGGAAATGTTGATAAATCATGGACTAAGAAATGTATATGTAAACACTTGGCTTTTTTTTACGTAAACAGGAATGTAGATTGGTTTTCTAATGATAAAAATTATATTCACCAAAATAATCAACCACGAATTTGTGAGTTATATTTTTGCAGTATTTTTATAGGCGAATCTGTACATATTTACATAACTTGCCATGAATGTATTTACTGATTATAATCATTCTACCACTGTGGTGCCCTTTGATCAATTGTAATTAATCAACATTGTGTATTTTTAGTCAATGACAATTGGATAATGCAGATTAACCCTCAATGCATTGATAAACGCAAGTCGAGGATTGATACATCCAAAATACATGAAAAATATACCGTAAAATACAGCTGATGCTAGACACTTCGTCCTCGATAATCGCTGTCACTTGTATAATAAAATATACTAGTTTTAATTAATGGTAATGTCATTATATTGTAAAATAAAGATGAGATTATGCAGTGTCGGATAGATGAATGACAGCTGAATTCCATAATCCAGTGGGTGTGAACTAAATTCTAATGATGCATTTACCAGCTCGTCGGCTCTCTTTATCCATTCTTTAGTGATGAAAAAACAAGTACAAATCACTCATACTTACAAAATCTACTTTTGTTGTTGAACACTAGTGTTCGAACCGTCTGTCGAGTAATTGTAAGATTGTGTGTAACCTTGCCATCCTTGGGGATAGTTGTTGTACGATGATCCAGTGCTTGTTGTCGAGGCTGCGGACGTTGAATTAGCACCAACTGTGGACTGAAATCATCGGACAATTAATTTTTTAGATCTTATTTAATGACAACTTTGATATAAATCATTCAAATTGTACAGGATAATTGGGATTTGAATAAACCCATTTGTCAAATTGAAAATCAGTGGCGATGCGGCAAAACGGTTCAAGGAGAGGGCTAAATTTTTGTTGAAAGCTTTTTTGTAGCCCTCAATTCACTCTAGAAGAAAGTAATTACGAAAATTTCGTTGTCTTCTTTAGATTCAGAGATATTCATCAGCTCTGGCCTAAATCGACTTAAGGATATCCAAATACTTTGGCTATTATTTCTCCAGTGAAATGCTTTGTATTTTTGTAGTCGAACATCAGAGCTTTCATTTAAGCCCCATTTGACCTGGAGTTTCCGGACATTTTGGAATGATTTTATTATTTAAACTTTGCAAGTCTGAATTTCAATCTCGATATTGAACCGTTAGAAAAGATTTCGAAAATTTGAAAAAAAATTAGAAAGTTTATATTTGGGGGAAGATTGATGAAATAGTTTATAAACAATGAATTTCCTACCATAAAAATCATTTGTTTGCAATCGTAACAAATTTCTTCATATTCAGAATTTTACCAGAAATCGATTTCATTCCTAAAAAAATACAGTTTCCGAAAGTTTACAGAATTTCAATCATTTATTTATAAACGAAGAATGTTTCCAAAAATAATAATTCTGTGCAAAATGTAATTTTAATGACGCTGAATATTCATGATGTTTTTTAATTTTTTCTCCCGCAATTTGATTGACAAATCTTATGATTGAAATTCAACAGCGAAGTGGTAAAAGGAGATAAGTCAATTTTGACTACTGACCAGTTTTCAATGAATATCTCGGAATCTAAGGGAGACAGCAAAATTTTTGTTATAACCTTTTTTGTGGAGCCGATTGAGTGCTACAATAAATGTAATTGCGAAAATTTCGCTATCTCCTTTAGATTCGGAAATATTCCTAAAAAACTCAACTGAGAGATAAGTCGACTTATCTCCGTTTACCACTTCACTACTGAATTGATCCAATTTATAACATACAGATGACTTTGGTACTTTTTTTCATTTCTTACATACCGAAAATGAGAAAAAATCACGTTTCAATTGCTTCCAATGACATAAAATCATTAAAACAGTCCCCTCACCAGGATTTTTGACCGATTGAATTGAATTTTGGTTCCCATACGCATAATATATCGACGAAAAAAGAACCGTTTTACCGCTTCACTACTGAAATAATCGATTCAATCGACATTGAATCAATGAAATCGTTGACAACCTCAAATATTCCAAATTGTTCAAACTAATGCATTGTCCATTTGAATATATTCAAACATCAATACTCATTAAAATTATACTCACACCCTGTCCACTAGTTGTACTAGATTGTCCGCTGGATGGTTGCTGCTGACCCCAATACTGATTGTAATACTGTTGACCCCAACCCCCCCAATTGCCATTGCCATAGCCCTGCTGAGTGTAATTGCCCTGATTGTAGTTTGCGTTGGAACCATATCCCTTCCAACTGCCCCAGCCACCTTGTGCGCCCCAACCTTGTCCACCTCCCCAGCCACCAGGCGTCTGTGACCCACTTCCCCATCCACTGCCCTGTGAGCCACCCCAGCCACCGGATGATCCCGAATTATGGTAATTGCTGTTCATGGGACCCCAGCCACCACCTCTCGCTGCTCCTGCACCCCTTCGATCACTGCCTCCTCCTCGTCTGTCGCTCGGTGCCCCACGTCTCTCGTTCGGACGACTCATGGGTCCCGGGGGACCACCGCGTCCCCTCCAGCCTCCTGGGGGTCCATAAGGCCCACCAGGGGGTCTCATGTGACCACCTCGTGGACCTCGGTCTCTCCAACCACCTGGCATCTGGCTGCCACCACGCCATGTGGCATTTCTGTTTCTGTCTGGATCTGTAAATATTGATGAAATTATTTATTTATCACTGATATTGATGGAATTATTAATATTTATATTTAAGGCCCGGGTGTACTATCTTTCGAATGTTATCTGGATTTTTATTATCTTTCTTAATCCAAAATCGTCAATTGAGTGGTACATCATATAGAAATTCCCAAAAATTATGATAGAATGATAAAGAAAAATAGAAAAAATTCTGAACTTTTTCAAAAAGAGCGTTTTTAATTGAGATTCAGAATGAGTTGAAAAAAGTGGAAATTACAAATATCTGATTCGCTGTGGCAAATTATCTATTAGCTGTCATTTTCCATGGTGGTTAACAAAACACTAACTTCTCATGGAAAGTGACAGCTAGGTATCTCAATTTTCAAAGCAGTGGTATGTAGTCATCTGCCATTTTTATGTGATAAAAGTGTGATTAAAAAATTCTCCAAAATATTACAACTTTTTTCAAAGAGCCTTTTCCGTAATAAATGTCTCTGTGCGGAAAAGATTTACGAAATCAGTCTTCCCCCTGCATGATATTGGGTGACAGGCCGCCATTTGTCACCGTAAATCAGATACATTTTTCAATTTCTTGTTATTCAACTTATTCTGTATATAAATTAAAAATGCTCTTTAAAAAAATTAAGAATTTCTTCTACTTTTTTTTTATTATTCATTCATAATTTTTCAAAAGTTCTGCATGATGCAGGACTCAATTGACAATTTCAGATGACGAAAGATGAAAAAAAAAAACATCGAGATAACGTTCGAAAGATAGTACACCCGGGCCTTAATCAAATGAAAAAAACAATGAATTATACACGATAGAAGGAAATGATGTGGACAATAACAATACTATAGGCAATACAAGAGAAATTTCCCACTGGTTTCTCCAGTGAAATGCTTTTCTACTTTTGTAGTCGAAATCAGAGCGATAGTAGTGTGTGTTGTTATACATACAAGCATTCCTCCTGTCGCGATTATCTCGATTGTCCCTGTTGTCTCGATTGGGTCGTGCATCACGATTGCTTTCAGTACTCTTCTCAAACCGAGGGCGTTTGGCTATCGGTTGCTGTGCGAAACCTGCATCTTTGCCCTCCTTATTGTACATGGCGATGAGCTTCTTAGCCTCTTCCTCACCGAGCTCAACCCACTCAATGACATCGAATGAATCACCCACCACCGGTGCACCGAAGTTGGCTGAAAAATTGTCAAATTCCGGGGATTAATGTCTCACGAATTAATTAATTTATCAACAATTTTCGTTGTCTTTCGCCCAAAAAATAGTGCCTTATTTTAATGTTTCAAAGGTCTTAAAATACGATTTTCAAAAATCTTAATTTGAAGCCTGAAATTTTAAGGGGAGATGAAGATTGGAGACTTTCAAAGTCTCAATTGAGACTTGAAGATTTGAATTGGAGACTTCGCAAGTCTCAAGTTGAGGCAATAATCCCCAAAATAAAGCCTGTTTATTTCCAACGTTAAACTCTTCATAAACCAACCTTTCATTTCCATAATAGCAGAATCAGGAACCTCCTTGCCTTCCACAGCCACCCGTTTAGCATTCCGCGCCTTGAACTCCTCCTCCGTGGGTACAACAACAATCGCCCTCCGTTGGAATCCATGAAAATGTCTCATTTTGCGTCTCTGTGCGGAAGGATACACATTCGTCTGATCCAAAATATAGTTTCGCCTCCTGGTGGCAGCAACGTCCAAAAGTTTATTGAGACACCTCGTGCACTTGTCAATCAGCACATCCCACCGTCCATGATAATTCCTCTTCCTGGGTAACCCAATGACCTTCATCTTATCAATGAGATTATTGGTCCCCAGAACATTGTACATCTTCTCATGATGCTCCAACGCATAGTTGGTAGCCCAGAAAGTTTTCCCAGCAGCAGGCAAGCCACACATCATGATCATTTCGCAATCCTCCCGCCTCTCAGGCCTCACAGGCCCAGGAACTCGGTCCTTGATGTCCACCTGTCCCACTGGCACAAATCCATCGAGAGGAGTTCCACCCCAGGGCTCTTCGTCCCCAAAGTTGCAGGAAAATTCGCAATTCTTCGTCAGAACATGTGGGAACAGGGCCTTGCCCGCCAGCTCAGCCTTGGACACCCTGAACGCCTGCCCCAGATTCTTCCCATTCAGAGTATAACTCATGACTGCGTCAGCCCCAGACATGTCCAAGTAGCATCCAAGGACGTCATTCAACCCATACCTGGAAAACGAATAGCCACGAAATGTGATGAGTGGGGATAATCCTCAAGGAGCTATACTAATTCAGTAGCGAAGTGGTAAAACGGTTCAAGTCAATTTTGACTATTGGCCATAAGTTTTCAATGAATATCTCGCAATCTAAGGGAGATAGCAAAACTGGGAGGTAAGTTGACTTAGGCCGTTTTACCACTTCGCTACTGAAACGTATCAAGACGTACTGAAGCAGTCGTTCACACGCTCTGACAACAAGTCAGGCCAATTTACATCGAGTAAATTGCGTGAATAAACTCATATTACTAAAATGTATTGGAACGTTTTATCATTTATTGGAACCCTATGTAGCATTCAGAACAGTTAATACATACCTCGGTCCATAATCCTTGAAATTATTTCCTGTGGAGATCTTGCCAGTCCCCCCATAACCATAACTCAATTTCTCCTCCCCCAGCTGCATCGAGGTATGAACCACCGACCATCCAGCACGCAGAACGTGTGGATACTCCTCATCCTGAAGAGTGACAGGGCATTCGTACTTAACCTTGACTTCGTAGTAAACTTTACCACTGGTAAATCCAAATGAGGCTCTAGCCCCAGCCCAGACGTACCCAAAGCCATCGTTGTGCATCGGGGTTGCTGATAAAAACGAGGATTTATCGATCACGAGATTGAGATCTGAGTCGTACCAGGAGAGTAGAACCCTCGAGTAATCGATCTCGGGCTCGTCGTCGGTTTTAACTGGGGGTGGAGGGCTCCTCGGGTGATCACAGCTCGTCGAACGCTTTCTCTTCCTGTCCTTGCGGTCCTTTCTGTCCTGATCCACCAGGTCCTTGTCGTCCTCCTGTTTGATCTCCACCTTCATGTCCACGTCCTGGGTCGACTCGTGCTCGTTTTCAATTTTGAAATTCTCTTGTTCTTGTTTTATGTGAACGTCTGGCTTCTCCTCTGGCAACTCTTGCTTCACGTCTTCAGGCATTTTTGTTTCGTTCTCCTCAGGGGGATGTGAGACGTTCTCCTCGTTCACTTCCATTTTCTCTTCGGAGCTCTCGGGGATCTGGCTGATGTCGTCAGACACCTGGTGGTCGGTGCTCTGCGAAGATTTTGAGTCGTCGTTGTTGGCTCCAGGGGATTCCTCATTCTCCTGGGTCTCCTCTGGGAGCTCGACTGTTTCGGTGGCAGGTATTTGCTCGACAGGCTTTTCAGGTAATTCTGGGGGTTCTGGTGCCTCTGAGGATGCAACAATGGCTTGGGCTACCTCTGACTCCTTGGGTTCTTGAACAGAGTCCTCTTGCTGAGCTGGTGGTATCTCTGGGGCTTCCTCAGCTACTTGGGGAGTGCAGGTGTCAGCCTTGGGGGGCTCGGTTAATTCCTCAACTGCTGTCTGGGGCACTGCACCACTCTGGGGCTCATCCTCCAGCAATGCTGCTTCAGTTTCCTTGTCGATTATTGGTGACAGGGGCTTTTCGATCACTGGAGGCTTCACTGGTGATGGCTGCTTCTGCGGGGCAGGGGGAGGGACCCTGGAGGACGCCTTCGCTGGGGTTCCTCGGAGACTCCTCGAGGTTCTTGTTGAGATTTTTGAGGGAGTTGCCGGCTTGCTCGGCTCCGGGGTCTTTTGACGAACTTCTTGGGGGGCTGGCTCCGGGGAAGATGCTTCTTCAGCTTCTGTTGAGATAATTCGTGGGGTTAGTGAGGGAAAAAATGAATGGGCGAAATCCTGGGGGTTTTTTAGGGGGAGGACATCCAGAAAAATTAATTATTTGAAACAAATAAACAAGTTTATTTAAATTGGAGGAATTGAAGTTTTTGCTCCAGTTGAACATTTTTCTTCATTCATTTTCTTGATTTATTTTATTATTTTTGGTTGAAAAGTGAATGGATGAACTCCAGGGTCATTTTTCGGTAAGAGTACACTTAGAAACGTGCTTTATTTGAATCAAATAAATAATTTTATTCAAATTGTACGAAATGAAGTTTTTATTCCAATTATAAATTTTTCTTTATCTGAGGTTTTGTTTGTATTAAATAAATGTTTTTTTATTATTAATGAATCTTTAGTTAATTCAAATAAATTCTTCATTAATAATTAATAACGGTTTTTCGTGTATCAAGAAAATTTTATTATTTGAATTAAATAATTGTGTCTGTAAACTTGATACTATTCATACTAGTACTAACTATTATTGCCCCGGGATTAAAATTGACTCGAAAAAAGGTGAAAGAGAAACACGCAATAATTATTAGGGAGCATGCTAATACGGTTGAAACGTAATTTCGAATTTCTTTCAGAAAATACATGAAAATGTCATTTCCTTAAAATGAGAAAACTCTTTACTTGAAATAAATGAATTCTTCATTTGATATAATTCAATCTTTATCTTTTTGAAACAAGTAAAGAAGTTTATTCACTTCCACCAACCCAACCCAAATCCCATACCAAAATATCCATCGAGAATTTCCCCAACCGAACCAAAATCACCGATGCAACCAACACACATAAGCGTGGAAAATTCCGTCATCTCCCTCAAACCCCAAGAAATTCCGCAAAACATCCAAAGCTGACCCCTCCCCCAACGAAACAAAAAACATCCAAAATACCATTCACTCTTTCCTACTAATATTCCAAGGAAACTGAATGAAAAGACTCATAAGAACCATTCACACAATAAAGTGAGAACTTGAAAAACGTCACAGAATTTTAAATCTCCCTCTAACTACTCCATACGAAATACTTCACCTTGAGGGTTAGTTTTTTGTCTCTGAATCTAACATCTCCAGTCCACCCCAACCCCAAATCCCATTGAATCCCTCAAACTGAATGAATGAAACCCCAACAATAGGCTACCAAAATATCCATCGAGAATTTCCCCAGCCGAACCAAAATCACCAATGCAACCAACACACATAAGCGTGGAAAATTCCGTCATCTCCCTCGAACCCGAAGAAATTCCGCAAAACATCCAAAGCTGTCCCCTCCCCCAACGAAACAAAAAACATCCGAAATACCATTCGCTCTTTCCTACTAATATTCCAAGGAAACTGAATACAAAAACTCATAAGAACCATTCACACAATAAAGTGAGAACTTGAAAAACGTCACAGAATTTTAAATCTCCCTCTAACTACTCCATACGAAATACTTCACCTTGAGGGTTAGTTTTTTGTCTCTGAATCTAACATCATTTCCAGTCCACCCCAACCCCAAATCCCATTGAATCCCTCAAACTGAATGAATGAAACCCCAACAATAGGCTACCAAAATATCCATCGAGAATTTCCCCAACCGAACCAAAATCACCGATGCAACCAACACACATAAGCGTGGAAAATTCCGTCATCTCCCTCAAGCCCTAGAAATTACCCAAAACCTCCAAAGCTGTCCCCTCCCCCAACGAAACAAAAAACATCCGAAATACCCCCAACTCTCCACTCCCACTCGTCCAAGAAAACCCACTACAAAAACTCCTTTCAAAAACACGAAAACACTGCACTCTTCAGTTTGTTGATGCAGCCGTGAGCCCATCTATGCCACAAGAGACATGGAGAGCGAGTGTAAACAACCCCCAATTCCTCAGGGTCAATCGCTTTTCACGAGGGACTCACTCAACTCCATTAATTATTACAAATCGTGACTTACCTTCAGCTTCGCTTTCCTCCAACGCTTTCCGGAGTCGTTCAACAAGCACCGCCTTATTTCCCTTGGTGTCAAGACCACGCTGTGATAATTCAGCACGTAACTCAACCACTTTCAGTTTGGCTGGATCCATAACTCTGTTTTTATATCATACAATCGAATTGGTTGTAACCAGGTTATACGTGGCCAGTGTCAACTGAGCTTTTTAATTCCTCGGATTTATCGAACTCTGTTGTTATTATTATTATTATTCTTTTTTTAATTGAGAATAAGAAGAGTGACCATACACACGCGCCAGTGACCCGCGCTACCCTCTGAGACAATATGGCGGGCACTCTAGGCCGGAAAAACCGCCGCGTTACGTATTCCCGTGGAATTTTCACTGGAGTTACGGCGGGATGTGTTTTCTGTTGGGAGCGACGCTCACTTCAGTCGTTAAGAGGCGATTGGACGAGGAGGGGAATGTGCGGGGCAGGAGCGGGCGCCATTGGTCCCTGGGGAGGGGGAAAAGCGCTTGAAAGGGTAGTCTGTGGCGAGGATCCGCCAATCAGGCTACAAGTAGAATCTGCAGAAAGTTATCTCTAAGATGGAATGGTATCTTATGTCAGAGGCGGTAAAAGGATTATCTTGCGAATGCGGCTTTATAATCCGAGCCGAAGGCGAGGATTATCATCACTTCGACAGATAATGCTTTTATCGCCGTGTGGTATATATACGCTATTTTATGTATATCGCTATTTTATGTAATCGCGGTTTATCGGGTCTAATGACATAAAATTCATATACTAATGTCTATCCAAGAGATAGCGTTTTTGAAAAATTGTCTGCTTGCTATTTTTAAAACGTCTCGGCGGGAACGATATGTTTTCATTAAAACTTACATTTTAAGCTATGATGGAGTTCATTTGAAGCATGATATTCAAAAATATCCTCGGAATTCTGATTTTAAAAAAATACAAAATTTTTGCAAATTTTCAAATAAATCAAAATAACGATTATTGTTATTGCCTTCATCTTCGAACTCGGTCAAAAGGACGTCCGAACAATCTTTTTAAACCGTCATTTAATCAAATTCAGAAGTCATAAAAACGGACAATTCTCATGTGACAAAAATCGAGATACTATTTCAAACAAGACTGTTTTTTGGATATCTAAAAGATAATTCTCGCAAGCGATCTAGTGTTGTGTGAAGTTAGCAGGGATTGTTTTCAAGTGAAGAGTGAAGTTTCAATTATTTATCGATGAGAAGATAATTGGGATTGGTTGTACTTTATACTAATTGTTTAAATTTGGAATATTTTTAATTGTGGGTTAAGGGAGTGGGCAGGAATGAGCGAGGAAGAGTTGATCGGTGAAATTAGGGAGTTGAAGTGGTTGTTGAGGGAGAAAGAGGATAACCTCGCTGAGTTGAGGCGGGAACAGGTGATTATTCAAAAAAATGGGCTGAATAATGAGGAGATTGCTAGGTACAGCCGACAGATTTTAATGCCAGAAATCAGTGTTAAAGGTAATTAACAGTTAAGAGGGGTCACACCACTTTTTTCGAGTACCACAAGTATTTAATGAAGAATTCCGGTGATTTTTCTTAAGTTTCTTTTTTATTAAAGAAAAAGTGTGGGCATCAAATGTCGTGAATTTTTCATTTTTCAATAACAATCTTTTCTTATTTAACAGAAGGAATTGAATGATTTCAAATTCCACACGACTGATTTTGCGGAAGGTGATATGGAAAACACAAAAAAAATTTCGTTGAAGAATATTGGAAATGAAATATTTTTCATTTTTTAATAACAATCTTTTCTTACTTAAGGGTGCCAAGTGAATTTGAAAAAAGATTCAAAAAAAATTTTTTCTTTCCCTCCATCATTGGAGAAATATGTATTCATCCATCCGACGAAATTTCAAACCCGCAACCGGAACTAGACATCGAGAAAATAAATGCGGAAAATCCTCTATTTCGCGTGACGAACCTCGAGAAAGCATGGGATCAAATGGGTACGGCGGGTTGAAATATCTCTCTTATTCACCCCGGTACCCCATTGTTTTTTGTCGCCATCACATTGAACACATCATTCCCCATATCTTCAAATTTTTTCAAATTTTTCTTGAGTTCCTAGGGGGTTGAAACGTTCAATTTAATCAAAACTCCATAAGAGGCCGTGTATAAGACTGATTTTGTTTATTTAATTTCTCGATATCCATAAGTTCTAAAATTTTAAAATTGTCACCGATGTTCACCATCTGTCTAATACTATTAATTAAAAAAATTATAACTTTGTTGGTGAATGTCAATTTTCAAGGTCATCGCCAAATTCACTTGGCACCCTTAACAGAAGGAATTGAATGATTTCAACATTTTTTAATTTTTTTCCAACGAATTAAAAAATTAATCGAAAATTATAATATAAATTTTACCTTGGAATGGATGTCGCTAAAATCCAATCAGTTGCATTCTCATTTCTCATGCGTGATTATCTTGCAACAGGACAAGTGAAAATAAAAAATGCATCAGTTCTAATTGTCGGTGCTGGAGGGCTCGGTTGCCCATCAGCTCTGTACTTGGCCGGAGCTGGAGTGGGGCATATTGGTATCGTAGACTACGACGACGTCGAGATAAACAATTTACACAGACAGTTGTTGTACACGTCTGACGACATTGGCATCGCTAAAGTTCATGCTGCCGCTGATCATCTGCAAAGGTAATGCTTCATACCCCAGGCAACGTCTTCTCTTTTTTAAAATTTAGTATTAAACAGTAAAGTGCCGGAGTCATTTGTTTTTACTTAATCCAAATATTTATACTTGTCTTTTCTTTAAGAGTCATTCGCTCAGAGTTTACTGCTGTGATAACTTTTCTCGGAATCATAATATGATTATCTTTATAAAGAATAATTGAATGGAATGGGTATGCTATTTATTGATGAATGCACGTATGAAAACATTTCATACACCGAGAGAAAAACAAACACGTAATCAAACGAGTCTTGTTTGGGCCAACAAATTCGCTAGTTGAAAATTCCCGAAAAAGAATTTGTTTGGTTCGAATTTAAGTCTCAAACATGAATAATTGCTCTGCTTTCGACAGCAACGAAATATTTGGCTGAAGAGGCGGATAATTCACACCAGACGGTGCCTTTTCAGGATGAAAATATCTCATATAGAGGAAAATTTATCAACAAATATTTTATCCCTAAGTTACAAGATTGCTATCATATCATTATTATTGTTTCATTTAAGGGTTCATTTCTTGTCTGTGATTATTAGACAGCTGAAACGAAAAACCACTATCCCTTGTTTCGCATAAAACAATGATTTTTCGGGAGCAAAATACGTATGGGAGTATCGAATAACGAAGAAGTAGTGCTAGAAAGGACATTTCTTGCTTGGACAGAGAATGCAATTTTTTTTAACTACTAAATCTATTTTTGCGACAAAAATTTTCATTCCGGCGTACTCTCTGCATGTTTGGCACAAGAAAAATCCTTTTTTGGTAATTTTCAAAAAACAATTTTCTTGGCACAAGTAAGACTTGTTTGAGAACTTTGTAGTTTTTCTCTCAGTGCTGTAGCAAAACCTAGTCAATTCACTAGACAATTCTATTGAAATGTTCAATCGAACATATTCTCTGGAAAAATCTGTTTTTCTATAAAACTAATTCTATTGAGAATAAAATAAGAATAAATAGAATAATTGACTTGAAAATCTGTATTTGATCTTTTCGAAAGTCTCAATTTTAGATCTTTGAAGTCTCAAAATAAGGATTTTTTCTGGGTGAATGCCTAATAAAATATTTTCTAACGAACATTTCATTACAATTGGTCGAGAACTAATAGAAATCTCAATAGAAATCCGCTGGAATTGTCTGTCAAATTCAATGAAAATCTCAGTATCTCAAAATAAATCCTTAAATTCACTGTAGGCTCAACGGAAATCTGAAGGTAACTCCTTACAAGCTTCAATTGGACAGCACCAATGTCCAGAATATCGTCGAACAATACGATGTAGTCCTTGATGCTACCGACAACGTGCCAACAAGATATCTTCTAAATGACGCCTGTATATTCGCTGGGAAGCCCTTGGTATCGGGGTCTGCACTGAAATTCGAGGGACAGTTGACAGTTTATAATCATCAAGGACCTTGCTACAGATGTATATTCCCGAAACCTCCACCCCCTGAGACTGTGACTAATTGCGGGGATGGTGGAGTTCTCGGTGCAGGTATTAGTCAAAAATAAATGCCTGAAATAATAAACTGCATGATTATTCGCTAAATTGATAGGGGAGAGTGGAGAAAAATAAAACAACCGAGAAAACGACTATTTGACGCAATTCAAGCAAAAAGACAATTTCGTTAACGTTTCATTAATTTAATTTTCATTAACTTTTGTTTATTAACTTTTTTTATTATTGGAAGTATTAAGAGAATAATAATTTTCTATTCGTCATATAATTTGATTGATTATAATTCAATTTATTTGATAGGCCGATTAAAGTTTCATTTTTTCATTCAGTTGAATTCAGCATCACGTTTTCGATTTCCCCTCTGGGTCTCCTCCTGGGCTTTGCTCTGAACTTTGGATTTTGCTGCTTCATTTTCTATCCAATTACTTCATTGACGAAATCTTCGCCCGGCAAAACTTCTCAATAATTTTTATTCTCATCAGTACACTGAGAGAAAAACAAAGACGTTGTCAAAACAACTCTTGTTGGGGCTTAGGCATTTTTCCCACTCTCCCCTATGTGAAAAAAAGAAATTGAACAGATTTATAGAATCCTTTTTTCAGCTGTCGGAACAATCGGTGTTCTGCAGGCCCTAGAGGCCATAAAAATAATCCTGGATATGCCTGGAGTATTATCTGGACGAATGCTACTATTCGATGGTCAACAATCAACATTCAGAAACATACGTCTACGATCGAGAGACCCAAATTGTTTAGTTTGTGGAGAGGATCCCCAAATAACTGAACTATTGGATTACGAACAGTTCTGTGGCAGCAAAGCTAACGATAAAAATCCCAATCTCAAGTTATTGAAGAATGATGAGAGAATAACTGTGAAGGAATATGAAACCGTCAAGAATGTTCATTCTCACTTGTTGATCGACGTTCGATCGCGTGAAGAATTCGAAATATGTAGTTTAGAGGGTTCTGTTAACATTCCTTACTCGGAGATGCAGAAAAATGCGGGACTGGAGAGGACTAAAAAAATTGTGGATGATAAACTTCAGGAGGACAATTCCAATGGTATGTAATTTCCTAATTCTGAGATTTTTTTAAATTCATGAGAATGTAATGTGTAAATTTTACTTTAAAATTGAGTTATTCTTTGGAAAATTTAACCAATGTTTATAATGCCCATTGTTTTTTGCAGTTTACATCATTTGTCGTCGTGGAAATGACTCTCAAAGAGCGGTCGACCTCCTGAAAACTTCGTTGAATCACAGATCGAACAGAATAAAAGATATAATCGGTGGCATTCATGCGTGGACTCGTGAATTAGACTCTACATTCCCAATTTATTAAAAATATTGATTTCAACATTGTGAACATGCAAAGTACATCAAACATTCAGCTAATTATTCTCCTCTATGACTAGTCATTGAACACAACGAAAATCAATAATGATTCATTGAAAATAATTTACATTTATAATTTTTCTTCATCAATAACTGTCAATTATCTGATCCACTCAATTATATTTATTCAACTCCTCAGGAGTTAAACTCGTTTCCGGATGTCTGTAATGCGCATCGGGGAGATTACGAAGTTTTTCAGCAGCTTGCTCAGCAGTTAAATCTCGCTGAGACTGCGCCAACAACTCATATCCAACCATGTGTTTTTTTATCGTTGCTGATCGCAGCAGAGGTGGCAGATACATTCCGTGGAATGTCCAGTGGCTCGAGTCGTCGTTGATTCGAGTTCCAGTTGGGGCTCCATGCCAACCCATTGAATAGGGGAATGAGCAGAGGAAGAGATTATCGTATTTTATGCACAATCGCTTCATTATCACTGCTAGTGACTCTCGTTGGGATTCGGTGATGTCCTGAATCCGAGAGATCTGAGTCTTGGGGAGGAGCATTGTCTCGTAGGGCCACACTGCCCAGAAGGGAACCAGCACGACCCAATCTCTATTTTCAATCACAATTCGTTCCTGAGAAAAAACAATTAATTGTATCTCTCTATGTTAAAAATCCAAATTGACTTCTGGTGATAAAAAATTTGTACTCTAAATTAAGACTTTGAGATTAAGGGGCATGAGGGCCAGAGGAAGTGTTATAAGGGTAGAATAAGGGCCAAAAAGGCCATGAGGGTCAGAATAAGGGTCATGAGGGTCAGAGTGAGGGGTATGGGGGTTAACATGAGGGTCAAAAGCGCCATGAGGATCAGAATAAGGGTAATGAGGGTCAGAGTGAGGGTTATGGGAGTCAAAATAAGGGTCCTCAGAGCCAAAATGGCCATAAGCAGCAAAATGAGGGCGATGAGGGTCAAAGTAAGAGTTATGAGGATTAGAATAAGCGTCATAAGGGTCAAAATAAGGGTCATGAGGGTCAAAAAAGAGCCATGAGGTTCAGAATAAGAGTCACGAGGGTCAGAAGGGAGATATTAAGGGTCCCAATAAGGGCAACAGGGGTCACATTAAGGGTCACAACTCCAATTCAAAAATATTCTCCCAAAACTGATTGACGAGTAAAGTTAATTCATTTGTTTACCTTCTTCTCGAGTTCTCTCTTGACATAGTCAATCAGAAGAGGTCTTTTATGTTTAGAAAAATATTCTCTTAGGTTTTTATCCTTTCTGTCTGGCTCAGAAGGCATGAACGAACTCGCCCAAATCTGACAGTGAGGATGGGGATTGCTGCAGCCCATTATTGTGCCTCGGTTCTCGAATATTTGCACCCAAGTCCAAGTTTTTCCCAGTTCTATCATCTCGTTTATCCATCTCAAGTAATTGTGGAGAATAAAGTTGTTTTAATTAAACACTAATTAAGGAAGTGATGATAATGAATTAAAAATATTTTTCTACTTTTTGAAGTAAAAAGCAATAAATTCCACACAATTCAATATGAAATTGAATTAAAAATTGTAATAATTCTTCGATAATTCAATAATTCATTTTTACATTTTTCTAGTGAAAAATATATTTATTCTATCGAGCAGAATGGAGAGAAATAATAATCACTCACTGTTTAATAACTTCTACAATTTCTTCAACTTTCATCAGAGCCAGTGTGACATTTGACTTGGGATGGAAACACAAAACTTTACAAGTACCTCCCACAGGTTCCATTCTAAACAATTCATCATCTGATTTTTCTATCCGCGGAATGTTTTCCAGCAATGCAGGGAAATCATTGACGAATGAGTAAGTTTTGTCGTACTTGGCGGTGATCTAAAATACAGTTTTAGTTTCCTCTGAATTGTACTTCCTCCAGGTTATTCAATCAATAAAACGAATCTTCACCTTCCCATTGGCTCGAGCATTTCCCGGACACAGAGGATTCTGTGGGTCATACTCCGGTAGTTCCTCATCAGTCGACGGTTCGATTTGACCGGACCAAGGTCTCTTCATTCTGTGCGGAGACACTAGTACCCATTCTCCCTTCAGAGGATTGTACCTCACATGTGGATGCTCTACCATGAGAAACAAGTGGATAATTGTATTTTTGTAAATGAGTATAGTTATTGTTGCTAATAAATTAGCAATTTGCTTCCGAATGGGTTCTCTTTTTTTAATTCTCATTTCACTAGTCTCTTCTTCTGTTTTTTCATGTCAAAGTACTATCATCAATTGAAATGTCATCAAAATTTTGCGGATTATTTCGTTTCGTCAAATAATTCTACATTCAGACCCTCTCGAGACTCGAATTCGTTTTCAGTCCGGGTTTAATCGAGGTTCAATCAAGGTTTAATCGGGGTATAGCCGGGATTTAATCAGGTTTTATTCCGGATTTAGCCAGAGTTTAGCCCAGGTTCTGTCAGAAGTTAGTCGGGACCATGAATCAATATGAATAAGTACTCAACATAATAGACTGGTACCTGAGTTTAATAGAGATAGAGAATTTTATATAAAAAGCTCATGACGGTATTGTGTAACTTGATAAGCAATGATGCTGTTCTCACCATTTGTCAACTTGATTTAGAAGGCATTGAAATATACTTTCAAGCCCTGATTTAATTGCTATTACTAATGATTCTTTCAGTAACCATGGAAAAACCGATTTTCTCTTTCAAATAGCATAAACAATGTGCTGTAACTCAACAACGAATTGTGCCACCCCCATCATATTCTGACAGAATCACGAGGGCATTTTTATGAATTTTTTGAGCCATGACTAATTCCATTTTGACGACAATTTTTTGAGCAATCGTTGAAGAATCGATTTTTGGAAAAATATCAGTTTTTTTTTTATTTTGCATGAAAAATTGAATTTTAATTGGTGTCTAAATTCTATAAATAGAATTAAAGTCTATATTCATGAAAAAATTCACGAAATTCGATAGATATCTTATAAATGAATTTAAAATGCCACATTCATCCACACATTTTTGTGAGGAAAATATCCATCGAATTATTTTTTTCCATTTCTTATAAAAAATTGGCATTTTTCGATTTTTTCTACTCGTAAAAATCGTACTGATTTTACAATTTTCAATTTTTTTCAACGAATTTTTTTTTGTGTATTCCATATGACCTTCCGCAAAATCAATCGTATGGAATGAAATCACTTAATTCGGTCTGTTATTAAATACACAATGAATATTGTTAAAAAATGAAAATTTCATGAAGTTTCTGCCTACACTTTTCTTTCATACAGTTTTTTCGAAAATTGAATTTTAATTGTTGTCAATAAATAGAGCTTATTACAGTCTATATTCATAAAAAAATTCACGAATTCAAACAGGAGATAGAGAAATTCAGTAGATCCCTTATAAAAAAAAAATTAAAAGACCACATTCATCCTTACATACAGACACCATCTAGAAATCTCATGTTCGCACTTTTTAAACCATATTCAATTACCCAATTACAAACAATTGGAACTTTAAATTTAAGCAATTCCGAAGCTTCCATTCAAAATCAACAACAAATCCACAAAAACATCGCATTAATAAACTACAGTCCAACCAAAACTTCTTTCCTCGCATGAACTTAGTTTCAGGTAACGAGTTCCCGCATGGTTTCCATTATCAAATTGTTGAGTTGTCAATGAAAACAAAGGAAACCCATTTTTTCCACAGGGAAAACAAATTTGGGCCCGACTATATTAAAAATCCACCGAATTCCTCAACAATCAATTTAACCAATTACATCATACGATTTTACCTGTGGCATCGAAAACGTCCGCCTCCTTCGTTGCCATGATTCTAATGCCCTTCACACTGCAATCGACTGATGCATCTGACTTTAATCCGAAAACGTGATACTAAACACTTTTATCAGTCGGATAACCTTCACTCCTCGGAGGTCAGATTTTCACAGGAGACGGAAAAAAACACTCATAGTAGTCTGAAAACTCCACTCAACAACGAAAGAATCTTCTCTTCGCTAAAAAAAATTGACTGTTGAATTGACTGTTGATTGCACTCGTCAATTATTTTCAGTACCAATTTTCATCACCGTGACATGATGACCCATGACATGATTACCATAGAACATCGCTATTTAAAATTTTCGCCATGGGAATGCAGCTCACGCCCCATTGGGCAATTCCGTTTCCAATCGTCTCAGTAATTCCGTTGGAGCTGAACTTCTGACAACGCCGCCACTACCGCCGCCATCATTACGTCTTTTTCTGTTTCTCCGGTGATTTACAGTCAAGCAAACATGGCGAGAGGCAGTAGTGCTGGTTTTGACAGGCATATTACGATTTTTTCACCTGAAGGGCGACTTTACCAAGTCGGTAAGTGAATTAAACGAATTAAAGTGTTTATTGAAGTCATTCTGGACAATATCAGCCAGTTTGGTGAGGTTTTCTTCGAGAATGGTTTGGAGTTTGTGTACATGATGACAAGGCGTGATCAGCACTTTTGAACATGAGCGAGGAAGCAGTGAGAAATTAATTAATTTGGTTTTTCTTTCAGAGTATGCTTTTAAAGCCATTAATCAGGGCGGACTGACGTCTGTGGCTGTCAAGGGAAGCGACACTGCGGTGTTTGCGACACAAAAGAAAGTTCCTGTGAGTTAACCTCTTTGTTAGATGCAGATCGTTGCAATTTTTATTTGAATATTGGGTCTATGATGCCAGGGGTGGCTGTGGATTTTTTATGAATGCCACTTTTGTACTCTCAGTTTGACGAAAATTCTCCGAAAATTTTTGCAATATTGATTATTATTTTCGCAAGGGACAAGATCAAAACAGATATCAACAGTAAAAACCCGTACACAGATTTTACTTGTATTCTTACAATGACAATTATATTAGAGGAGGATGGGGTAAAACGGACACTTAACTTTTTTAAAATTTTAATGAGGGGTTGGAATGTTGATGAAATTAATAATTTTTTGTCAATACAAAGAGCAATTCTTTCCCTTTGTGATGAACTTAAACTGAGCTCTATCGATACATTTGTTTCTGAGTTATGAATAATTTTGAAAAAGTCTAAAGTCTCCATTTTACCCCACCCTCCCCTATATTTTTACCAAAGACAAGATAACCGGAAAGTTTTACTGACGAAATTTTTTAGACGTGCTCCCTAAGTCATGGGGTCTTGAGTGCGTTATATTTCTACCCTAGCCTCCTATTGAAAATATGGGAGTGGACCAGGATAAATTCAATAAAACACGTAAAGTTGAGTGAAAGTGTTGAGTCTACTACACTGAGAAAAAAATTTATTCCTCCCAAGAAAATGTTATTGGTGATATCTTTTTCATACTCTTAGTAGAAGAAAATATCTCTTTTGGAACGCATTTTTCCAGGCCAGTCATTTCCAGGTGCTCCGAAATCATTTCTAATCGTGAGAATTATGGTGATCTATAAGAATATTCTTCGGCATATGACCTCGAAGAAACTCCAATAATAATTATTAACATTTGGAATTATTCCAATTTTCTTTACCTGAGAAAATCGCCAATTTGTAAAATCCGGAAGATATCGGAGAACATTTTGTCAAGGTCATATGTAGCATAATAATCAGATTGTTCAACATCATTGTAATTTTTGAGGATAGACTTGGACTCTCTGAAAATGACTGTCCTGGAAAAATTCGTTCTGGAAAAATATTATCTTCTGACGAGAATATCAATCCTTGGCAGGAATAATTTTTTCTCTCAGTGTAATAGGTCTTCACGCCTCTTCTCTCTGTGAGAGACTGACTCTATAGAGAGAAGCTGTAGTGCTCCTTTGCCTCTAGGGTTTTCCTTTGTCACCATGTGCAGGACAAGATCCGTTGTTCCTAACATTTTGATTTGTGTAAGGCTCCACACGAATGTAAACAGCCCAAGAGGAAAAAATGCAGTGAAATAAAATGGAATGTGCTATGAAATGTACTACACAGTACACTGTTAGAAATTTTTTGAAATTTAAGTAACAGATGAATTTTAATTTTCAATATTCGGAACTTGAATACAATTTCAAACTAAATTGCTCATGGAATTCCTGAAGACATTGAAAATTCAGATGAAAAGTTGCCTGAATTTTCACGATTTTCAGTAATTTTTATTCTCTTATGAACCTGAGAAATCGAATTTCATTGAATATTCAAGAAAATGGACTGATTTATCAATAGCAAAATCAATAAAATTCCATGTAAATTATTCATTGTTAAAAATTTTCAATATTCGGAGTTTGAATTCAATTTCAAACTATATTGCTCATGGAATTCCTGAAGACATTGAAAATTCAGATGAAAAGTTGCCTGAATTTTCACGATTTTCAGTAATTTTTATTCTCTTATGAACCTGAGAAATCGAATTTCATTGAATATTCAAGAAAATGGACTGATTTATCAATAGCAAAATCAATAAAATTCCATGTAAATTATTCATTGTTAAAAATTTTCAATATTCGGAGTTTGAATTCAATTTCAAACTATATTGCTCATGGAATTCCTGAAGACATTGAAAATTCAGATGAAAAGTTGCCTGAATTTTCACGATTTTCAGTAATTTTTATTCTCGTATGAACCTGAGAAATCGAATTTCATTGAATATTCAAGAGAATTGACTGATTTATCAATAGCAAAATCAATGGAAATTCCATGTAAACTATTCATTGTTAAAAATTTCAAGATTTTTTACTTGAAATTTCAAGAGTAATTTTCTAACCGTGTAGAGGAATAAAACAATTTAGTAATTTTGCTCATTCCAATACCTCCCCACACCAACTTATATATTGAATCGTGAATTTCGGTTTCCTAGGACAAGCTTCTGGATGCCTCAAGTGTCACACACGTCTTCCAACTCACCGAGTACATAGGGTGTGTGATGACAGGCATGATTGGTGAGATACATCCCCTTACATTCACGTATTCATTTTGACTAAATCAGTAGCGAAGTGGTCAAACGGTTTAAGTCAATTTAGTCTTCAGTTGAGTTTTCCAGAAATATTTCCGAATTTAAGGCCCGGGAGTACTATTTTTCGAATGTTATCTGGATTTTTTTCACCTTTCGTAATCCAAAATTGTCAATTGAGTGGTACATCATGTAGAAATTCCCAAAAATTATGATAGAATGATAAAAAAAATAGAAAAAATTCTGAACTTTTTCAAAGAGCTTTTTTAATTGAGATTCAGAATGAGTTGAAAACAGTGGAAATTACAAATATCTGATTCGCTGTGGCAAATATCTATTACCTGTCATTTTTCATGGTGGATAACATAACACTAACTCCTCATGGGAAGTGACAGCTAGGTATCTCAATTTTCAAAACAGTGGTATGTAGTCATCTGCCATTTTTATGTGATAAAAGTGTGATTAAAAAATTCTCCAAAATATTACAACTTTTTTCAAAGAGCCTTTTCCGTAATAAATGTCTCTGTGCAGTGTAGGAAAAGATTTACGAAATCAGTCTTCCCCCTGCATGATATTGGGTGACAGGCCGCCATTTGTCACCGTAAATCAGATACATTTTTCAATTTCCTGTTATTCAACTTATTCTGAATATAGGTTTAAAATGCCCTTTGAAAAAATTAAGAATTTTTTCTACTTTTTTTTTAATTATTCATTCACAATTTTTCAAAACTTCTGCATGATGCAGGACTTAATTGACAATTTTAGATGACGAAAGATGACAAAAAATATCGAGAAAACGTTCGAAAGATAGTACACCCGAGCCTTAAGGGAGAGCGAAATTTTCTTAATAACCTTGTTTGAAACGTAGCTCAAACAAGTGGGTTTTAATTGATATCTATCAATTAAATGGTCGGTCCTACCGACAATCCTCGAGCACCATCGGGAACCTTCGATTGAGCGGTCAGGGGATCGCGAAACCCCCGAAAAGTAGTTGAAATCTAGCTATTGAGAAGATCGTACGGGTATTTAATTGTAGCACTTCGATCAGTACGTCACCACAGTTATCAGTTAAATTTCGATTATTATCAGTGATTCAACGTTATTAAAATTGCAGACAATTAGCAGTGATATTAAGACACTCAACAGTGAAATTCAATACCAAAGAGTGTACAAAGAATTTATTTAACGTCATGGTTCGATCCCACAATAAACCGCGATTTTTATAATCCGTCTCAACAATTAATATTCCAGCATCTTCCTCCGCATTGTCCCCCACATCCACCCTAAACCTAGTTCCTCACCAAACAAGCCTTTTTTGTGGAGCGAATTGAGTGCTACTAAAAAGATTATGAGAAAAATTTTGCTATCTCCCTCGGATTTCGAGGTATTCATTGAAAACTGGCCAATAGCCAAAATCGACTTGAACCGTTTGACCACTTCGCTAATGAAATGATAATGACGATGTTGACTTTGATCATTCAAATCAATTTTAGCTGACAGCAAATCGCAAGTGCAGCGGGCTCGTTACGAAGCAGCCAACTTCAAATACAAGTATGGATATGAGATCCCAGTGGACACACTCTGTCGTCGAGTCGCTGATATCAGCCAGGTCTACACGCAGAACGCAGAGATGAGGCCACTGGGGTGCTCAATGATGCTGATTGCTTATGATCAGGAGAAAGGTCCCTCCATCTACAAAGCCGATCCCGCTGGCTACTTCTGCGGTTATCGGGCCATCTCTGTCGGCGCCAGGCAGACGGAGGCCAACTCCTACCTCGAGAAGAAGTTGAAGAAGAAGCAAAACTACAACCACGACGAGACCATTCAACTAGCAATCACATGTTTATCAACGGTCCTCTCTGTTGATTTTAAACCCTCGGAAATCGAGGTCGGAGTTGTCTCCAAGGATAATCCCAAATTCCGGGTTCTCAATGAGCAAGAAATTGATAAACATCTTACTGCCATCGCTGAAAAGGATTAATTCGCATTTTTTCGAACGTTTGTTTTGATTATCCAATAAATAGCTTAAAGATACAATTTTTTTTTGTTTAATTTCAAGGTTTCGTCATTGGTAAATCAAGAAAGCATAAGTTTTTGCAGCTGTGGGTTTTTGAGATTTTTCAATAAACTTGTGCAATTTTTTATGAATATGTCGAGTTTCTTATCAATATTTATTTTTCATCGGGTTTTAACATGAAAGCGTATGTGGCGGCCACACGCCAAGTACGTTCGCCAAATCGATTATGGTAGCTGTTTTTTTTCAGATTACTAATCATGTCGTATTGTGGTAGTTCATGAACAAATGCGGACTTGGCGTTTTGCCTTTTTGATCAATTTATAAAAAAGGATTCGAATCATATGAGTGGAGATTAATTTCGACGGCTCCTAGGAGCAAGGGCATAACAGAGAATAATTAATCTAGAAAATTGTATTTCGGAATTCCAATTTGAACAGACCTAACTCCATATTGTGTTTTAAAAATCTTCCAAGAAAGCAGTATTTCAGCTGAAATTTGAAAAGGCATAACTCAGACAAACTGTTAATAAATAAGGGAGGATGGCATAAAATGGACACTGGACTTTTTTTTAATTACTCATAACTCAGAAACGAATTTATCAATTGAGCTCAGTTTAGGCTCGTTACAAAGGGAAAGAGATGTTCTTTGCATTGAGAAAAAAAATATTGAATTTCATCAACATTTCAAGCTGTCATTAACATCTGAAAAAAAGTCAAGTGTCCATTTTACCCCACCCTCCCCTACTGTTTAAAACTGGAACATCGTAACCTATCATATTTGAGTTGATTTTTGAAATAGCTACTATAAGATCATCTGAATAATTAGTCAGTCTACGCCAAAACACAGGCTTCAAAAATAGGAATTCTTGTTGTTATTATTATTATTATTATTATTATTGTTCCATTTTTTTATTAAAAGAAGATAGCTCTGCTCCCTTTGCTCCCATCGCTCATTGTCAATCTAACATCTGTAGATAAAACGACTTAGATTAATCGGTAATACAGAGTGGTCAACTAGGAAAATACGAAAATCATGGTCAACTGCAATTGTTTCACAGAATGGTATTCGACTCTTCGCAGGACGAATTCAAGTTCTCATTTTCGATTCTTCCTTCTTCTTCCAATCCTAATGGCTTTATCCTCTCTCTCATTTTCGATTCTCGATATTTTTCTAAAAAGGATTTTTGAAAAAAAAAAATTATTCATGAAGCGAGTGATACACAGTTTAGCCTGCAGAGGGAGAAACATCGCCGACAGGGGACTGTGGGACACAATTCTACGTACACAATCGTTTTATACCGCGCGTTGCTGCCGACAACAGAATATTTCCACATTTTTGCAGTTGTTTTGTCAATTAATACTGAATAAGTACAAAAATGTAAGTACAGTACTAGATACTTCATAACAATTCGCATTTCATAATTCTCAAGATGTGAATTCAAGTTTTCTATTTCCATTGGGTAAAAAACCTAACCTCCATGTAATTGTTGTCACTTGGGGGCGGGTGGGGTAAAACGGACACTTCAGAATTTTTTAAAATTATTCATAACTCAGAAACAAATTGATCAATTGAGCTCAGTTTAGGCTCGTCACAAAGGGAAAGAATTGTTCTTTATACTGAAAAAAAAAATTATCAAATTTCATCAACATTTCAACACCTCACTAAAATTAAAAAAAAAAAGTCAAAAGTGTCCGTTTTACCCCAACGTCCCCTACAAAAAAATTATCAATTGTGTTTTAACAAATGAAATAATTTGCTAGGGCATCCCTCGCAAAACCAAAGTCTGAAATGACTCCTGAGGAGTTGGCTAAACGAGAGGAAGAGGAATTCAATACAGGACCACTATCAGTTCTCACTCAATCAGTGAAGAATAACACACAGGTGTTGATAAACTGTAGAAACAATAAGAAACTCCTTGGAAGAGTCAAGGCGTTCGACAGGCACTGCAACATGGTCCTGGAGAATGTCAAGGAGATGTGGACTGAGCTCCCAAGAACGGGAAAGGGGAAGAAGAAGGTAAGACACTCCCCAAAAGTATATAGAGCTGCTGGAAACCCCCAAAAAAGCGCTTCTGTGTAATGCTTTTTTCGAAAATAATGAAGTATGATCACGGAACGTCAAGTAAACAATTGTCAATCAATTCTAGGTGTTGCAACTATTTATTATCAACAATTTAATTATTCAAATTGCTCTAGCGCCCAAACTATGAAAGATGTACGAAAATCTTCAGGTCACGAATCATTTAGAATTTGATAAGGAATATTTTTGGCTTTTGTCGACTTCCCTTACTTACAAGAGATAGGGGAAGTTGGGGTAAAACGGACACTTGACTTTTTTTTAAAATGTTAATGATGGGTTGAAATGTTGATGAAACTTAATAATTTTTTTCTCAATACAAAGAACTGTTCTTTCCCTTTGTGACGAGCCTAAACTGAGTTCAATTGATAAATTTGCTTCTGAGTTGTGAATAATTTTAAAAAAGTCTAAAGTGTCCATTTTACCCCACCCTCCCCTACGTAAAATTGCAAATGGACAAAAATTATTCCTTATTAAATTCTAAATCAGTAGCGAAAGTCATTTTTGACTATTGACCAGTTTTCAATGAATATCTCGGAATCTAAGCGCGATGGCAAAATTGTTGTTATAACCTTTTTTGTAAAGCCGATGGAGAGCTACAATAAATGTAATTACGAAAATTTCGCTATCTCCCTTAGATTCGGAAATATTCCTCGAAAACTCAACTGGGAGGTAAGTTGACTTAAACTGTTTTACCACTTCGCTACTGAAATGGTTCATGATTTCATAATTTTCGTCTATTCTTCAGAGTTTGGCTGCTAGGGCGATTTAAACAATTTAATTGTTAATAATAACCAATTCCAATGTCCAAAAATTAATTGAAAATTATTTAGTTGACGGTCAGTGGTCATATTTTATTGTTCAAAACAAGAATTACGCATTAGAACGCGAGTGGTCGGACATGTGGAAATCGAGGGTGTCCCGCAGCTCTAATACCCTCAAAATAACTATTGAACATGCTTCTCATTATTGCATTCCCCGGATTTAGGCAAAACCAGTGAATAAAGATCGCTTCATATCCAAGATGTTCCTCCGTGGTGATTCCGTCATTCTCGTACTCAGGAATCCATTGGCCACTGCTTCAGGAAAATAATGTGACACTTCACAAGACTTTTCTCGTATTCTACGATTAAATTTAATAAACATTGATAATTTAAGCGAAGGCATGGTGACTTTTTAATGAAAAATCCCAATGTTTCTTATGCAACATGATGAATTCTGCCGTAATGATCATATTTTTTCCAATGTCATTCAATTTTTGAAAAAATGTATTATGGATGATGTGTTATTGCCTTCAAAATTACAGTGTTGGAAAAATTTGGCTGAATTTTCCGGAAAAAAAACTTGAGCTATATGAACTTTTAGAATTGTTATTTCTCCAGCAATTATTGTTTTTTATTTATGACACTCCTTCATTGACTGAATAATGTAATGATCGAGTCGACAAAGAAGTTTCATTGATGAAAATTAACAATTGTAGAGGAAAACACAATTCTAAAAGTTCGTATAGACAGGGATTCCGTTTCCCCTTAATGTTGAATTCATTAGTTTCCGGTGGTAATTAAATCTGTAATTTTTTACTCCTCATATCAATACGAAAACTATTCAGGACATAGAGAATCCCTCCAATATCAAATGTACAAAATCTCAAAGGTGTCAGTCAATTATTTGACTACCAAATCAGAAGCGAAAGGAGATGAGTAAATTTTGACTATTGACCAGTTTTCAATCAAAATCCCGGAATCTAATGGCGATAGCGAAATTTTTGTTATAACCTTTTTTGTGGAGCCGATTGAGTGCTACAACAAATGTGATTACGAAAATTTCGCTATCTCCCTTAGATTCCGAGATACTGAATGATAACTGGTCAATAGTCAAAATTGACTTATCTCCTTTTACCACTTCACAACTGAAATGATCCTTCGAAAATTCGTCGGTAAACTGAGGAAAAAGTCAATAGAATTTCAAGCTTCTCTGAAAATTCAAGTAAAGACCCAATTTTTAAGGCAGGAATACAGAAATTCCACAATTTACATGAATTTGGAAGTGAGAATGGATATTCACTATCAAATTTCCGTGAATTTTAAGGGAATTCCTTCAAAATTCTTGAAATTTCAGGAATTTTAAGGAATTCCCTTAAAATTCACGGAAATTTGATAGTGAATTCCTTCCAAATTCTTGAAATTCCAGGAATTTTAAGGAATTCCCTTAAAATTCACGGAAATTTGATAGTGAATTCCTTCCAAATTCTTGAAATTCCAGGAATTTTAAGGAATTCCCTTAAAATTCACGGAAATTTGATAGTGAATTCCTTCCAAATTCTTGAAATTCCAGGAATTTTAAGGAATTCCCTTAAAATTCACGGAAATTTGATAGTGAATATCCATTCTCACTTCAAAATTCATGTAAATTGTTGAATTTCTGTATTCCTGCCTTAAAAATTGGGTCTTCACTTGAATTTTCAGAGAAGCTTGAAATTCCATTGAATTCACGGAGAGGTTTCTTTGAATTTTCCTGATTATTCATTAATTTTCTCGAAATAATTAATCTGAAATGTACAGATTTCCCGGATTTTTCATGAAATTATGAATTTTCAGTGACAAAATTCCTGGAAATTTCAGTGTAGGGGAGGGTCAGGTAAAATGGGCACTTTTAACTTTTTTAAACATATTCATAACTCAGAAACAGATTTATCAATTGAGCTCTATCTAAGCTCATCACAAAGAGGAATCATTGGCTTCCAATTGAAAAATAAAATTATTCCATTTCATGAACAATTTAACACGTCATGAATATTCCAACCAAAGTCAAAAGTCTCCGTTTTACCCTACCCTCCCCTAAATGTTACTTGTCAAAAATTTCCATGACTCTTCTCGAAAATTTCAGTGGACAATTTATAACAGTAGGGGAGGGTAGGGTAAAACGGACACTTTTGTCATTTTTTGAAATATTCATGGCGTGTTGAATTGTTCATGAAATGGAATAATTTTATTTTCCAATTGAAAAACAATGATTGCTCTTTGTGATGAGCTTAGACGGAGCTCAATTGATAAATCTGTTTATGAGTTATGAATATTTTTAAAAAAGTCAAAAGTGTCCATTTTACCCTATCCTCCCCTAATATATGAAGCAATAATAAACTGCAAATCAACTGCTATTCAGTGTTGAACGAGCAGATATTTCAGAGATTCAACTTATCGACATTAAAAACACGTGTATCCACACGAGCCCCATATTCGTGCATATTCGCCCGCCAACAACAATCATAACCTCCAATACACAGCACCCACAGGAACATGAACCCCCTCAGCAAATAATTATTCCTCATACCCCACGAAAATGAAAATTCAAAAACTGAAGTCCAGACCCAGCAACGAATTTCAAATACTTGATGGGTTTGAAGTTGAAGAGAATGTTGACGAATCAATGATTATCGAAGAAGCTCCCCTGAATGAGGACTGGCAGACTATAGAAGCGGTGGGCCACGAACACAGGGTAATCTCAAGGCAATCAATTAAAATCAGCAGCAAAAGGGTAAAACGGTTCAAGTCAATTTTGGCCATTTTTTGATGAATATCTCGAAATCTAGGAGCGAAACAAAATTTTTTGTCATGACCTTTTTCGTAGAGCGAATCGAGAGCTACAAAAAAGGTCATTACAAAAATTTCCCTATCTCCCTTAGATTCTGAGATATTCCTCGAAAACTCAGCCATGGGCTAAATTACTTGAACCCATTTCATAATTTCTTAAAGTTAATAATTAATTATTCCAGATCTGCACTTCCAAGAAAGCGAAAAGGTCTTCCCTGAAGAGAAAAGCTGTTTTCAACCCAGTGGCCATCAAACAATCAGCAAAAGCCCTCTTATGCACTTATGCCCGTTCACTGTTCCCAAATGTCGAAGAGAGTACAACCCGTCGAAAGAATAAAATTCTTCGTGATTTCCTGACAAACGAGCCTGCTGAAAATCCCCCGGCCACCATCACAACCTGTCGAACGATCGTTCCCGACGAGATTCGCCAGAAGAAACGAAGAAGGAGAAATAAAAAAATCGCAGAGACCTCGGAGTCCAAACCACCAGATTCAGAGGAACAATCAGACCCTGATGTCTCCATAAACTTGAACGACACATCGCACCAGAACGAATCTAGTCTTTCCCACGAGAATCCAGCAGATTGGACTCTCGATACATCACAGATTCCAGAGGCCTCCCAGCTCCCCCATTTCTACAGTCTTCGTGACAAAGTAATTTGCGTCATCGAGCCTGAGAGTCGATTCTCGTTCCAAGGGAAACTGAGGGTTCAGGTTCTGTACGGAGCTGTGAAGGTTTACGGTGCAGTACTGAATAAAGAAAACACAGATCCTCCAGTGGAGATTTACTCATCGAGAGGTACCAGTCTAGTCTTCATCGAGTCCGCACCCCAGAAGAATTCAGGGAATATTGCTGATGTGTGGACAGCTCTGAGCAACGACAACATCGACCAGAACATCACCAACGACTTGCAGAGACACGTGAATAGTCTAGAAGCTGGATGGGCTGTCGTGAGACTCCAGAACCTGGAGAACAATTTAACAAATTTTTTGGGCAACTTTTCGACTCACAGACTCTTTCCCAAACTCGATGATGTGTCCAACTACTCCTGGTCAGACCCAAAACGAGCAGAAGTTGTGTTGCAGGCTAATGTATACTCTGGAAGTGCTGGGAAACAGACGATTGGGTTTCGCAGAACTGATGGGACCTTCGAGGAAATTTCTAAACGCTGTGTTGAGGACAATTCTGGCCTGAGGATTGTTCTCGCTGGGGGAAAGAACGTCGGGAAGTCGACCACAGGACGATATTTCGTCAACAAGTTGCTGGAGACGTTTGAGGCTGTGGTTTTCGTTGATTTAGATATAGGCCAGGCTGAGTTCACACCTCCTGGGTGTATATCCTTGAATGTTATCAAGCGTCCTCTGCTGGGGCCGAACTTCACTCATCTCAAGGCTCCTTATCATCAATTGTACGTTGGGGGTGTTGATGCTAGTAAATATCTCACAAATTACATTGAGGGAGTGAGGCAATTGACGGAGTTCCTGAATGAGTGCGAGGAGGTCAGGGGGCTGCCTGTGGTTGTCAACACCATGGGGTTCTGCAGGGGACTGGGGTGGGACATCATGTGCTGTGTTGTTAAACGACTTCGCCCCACTGATGTCGTTCAGATCACTTCCAAGAATAAGAAGAATAACTATGATCAGTTGTTGGCTTGCGAATTGGTGAATCGTCAGGTGAGGAGTTTTTGGTGGAATCTCATGAAATTATTGTAGTGTATAATTTTTTTCATTACACTGTCTGTAAAACGCTGTTTACGGACCTTTTGAAGAAAATTTAATCGTCCTCACTCAGCCGAAAACAACTTTTCTGACTCGTGCGATTGCATTCACAATTCCATTTTAAGACATTTGAAATCTTAAAATAAGGTATTATTTTTTTTTGGTGTACTGGAAGACATAGCGAGTCACCCCGTCTGATCAACACATGAACTATTTTTTTTCTGCTATAATCAACTATTATTATCAACTATTGTCAACTGTTATGATGTAAATAACAAAAACTTGCAACGAATTTCATTGAAAATAACGTAAATAATGGGATGAAAGTCAGAGACCTATTTAACAGATAAATCATCGTCTTTCAGAATCCCACCTGGAAGGGCAGTTCAATTGCAATGGTAGCTGCACACCCCCCACTGAATTATGAACTCCACGTAGTGGATACTGAAGCTGAATCGAGGAATCCCACTGAAGAACTGTGGAACATCGAGCCCTATCAACAAAGGGAAATCGTTATGCTCGCCTACTTGAGTGACATTTTGAAACCCAAAAGAGGACTGCAGGACTTTACGAGTATAAACGAAGTGGTCCCATACGAGGTACCATTTTCCGCAGTGAGCATATCTCTTGGGACACCAGTCGTTCCACAGATTCTCTCAGTTATGAATGGCAACATCGTAGCAATGTGCGGTATTGATTCACAAAATGAAAATACAGAACCGAGAAAAGTTGGGTATCCCAAGGTGATGATCAGGGCTCCTCCATCCGTCTGCCATGGTTTCGGTACTATGATTATTATTATTATTTTTTAGTATTTTTTTTTATTAATACTTTAGAAACCCTATAATGAGTTTATTAATGAAGCTGTTTGAGTTTTATTTTACATTATTGAATAATAATATTCTCCTATGAATTATAATTGTACCTCACAATTTTCTAGAAAAAATATTTATCATAGTTGGAACCCTGGGGTTCGATGAAATCAGAATAGGATTGATATATTCATTTTTTCAATTTTTTCATTGAGGATATTCAAGAATCTTTTACATTTTGATATAGACTATAGATTTAATCATCGAAATCATCTTTCTACAAATGCCAACTTTTTAATTTTTTTTCAGATTTTTTGAATGTTTTCTAACATTTCAATATCGAGATTCGAATTTAGATCTGTAAAATTAAAAACAAAATCACAGTAAAATGTTCAGAAACTTAGGGTCAAATGAAAGCTCTGATGTTCAAATATAAAAGCAGAAAAGCATTTCACTTTGAGAAAAAATCGTCAAAGTACTTGGATATCCTTAATTTTTTTCTTTGAGTATTGAATTTTACGCACTCGAAGAAGACATAATTGAAATGCTCTTCAGAATGTCCACAGCATCTCTTAGACTCAACTATATTAATCCATTGTAGTGATTGACTTTCTCTACTTAATATTCGAAATCTTGAAAACCAGAGGTTTTTGTTTTTCCGCTAAAAATTCTCAAAGTACTTAAACCCTTCCGTTTCACCATTTTTTATAATAACTCGCATTGTCCCTTCGCATGCATTTCATTGGAAGGTTTCCCTGAAGTCCGTAAAAACATCATTATTGAAAAAGAAATTAAAATGAAACAATGATGCACAACAGGGAAAAATAGATCAACTAATTATGCTAATTGACGTCGAATTGTTTCCAGGTATTCTACGAGGTGTTGACATGACGAATGAGAAACTGTACATCAATACTCCACTCTCATTATCTAAATTGAAACACGTCAATTGCTTGATTGGAGCCCTTCCAGTGCCTTCCGGTTTGTTACAGTTAAGCAGCCCAGGCTTACCATATGTCGGTGATAACCCCGAGTTACCTACCAGTCGTGACTCAAGAAGAGGATACTTCCGTATGAGGCATCGTCATGATATTTCGATTTAGTTCACGTTTTTGTTTTCAAGCAATTCACTTGAGCCTTCGTCATTCGAATTCCAGGTTTTTTATACGATGTTGATAATTATTTTATTTGTTCTGATTTTAAGAGGGTTTTGGATCAATTAAGGGGGCAGGGATGTCACACTGCTGTTTTCAAGTACCACAAGTATTTTAATTTTTTTCAATTTCGTTATGCAAAAAAATCATGAAACATTGTGATGAAATTATCATTTTTTAGTGACAAATTTTTTATTCAAAAAAAGGACTTGAGTGATTTTAAATTGCATATGATCGATTTCGATAGGTCATCCATATTTTCAAAAATATCGTTTCGGTTTTTTTTGCTATCGAAAATCGTAATTTTTCGTTTTTTTTTAACTTGTAAAAACCTCAGAAGTCCTTCAATTTTCAACATTTTTCGATGAATTTATTTTTGTTTACTCCCTATAAACCTTCGGAATATCGATCGTATTGACTTTGAAATTAATCAGTTCCTCTTATCAAATAAAAAAAAGAATGTTACTGAAAAATGAAAATTCCGTGATATTTCATGCCTACACTTTTTAAAAATAAAAAATAAATCTAAAAAAACACCGAATTTTGCCATCACACAGTGGTGAGACCCCCCTTAGTACTAGCGGATGATAAACTGAGGTTTCAGAGAAAATAACGCATTTTCCTCTTTTTCGTTTTATCAAAAATTCATGACAATTTGAAAAAAAATCATCAACAGATAACAAATTTTATTTTTTGAAGTAGTTAACAACGCGATGATTCATCACATCACGAAGACAATTATAAGATTTTCATTTGACAAGCAAGTTGCTAAATTCATAATTTCGAAAACAATCGTCATTTTTTTTCAAAGTTATCATCAGAACAGCAATACCATGATTATTTTTGTTGCATTACGTCTTGCCCTCGAGCCCCAGTTAACAGAATTTTGTTTTCCCGTGAAATTATCTAGTTATTAAAATCGCGGAAGTGAATACCGAATCATCGTGCAAAACTACATGAAACACGTGCCTGAGTTGAAATACTATGGTTCTCGATTAACGTGAGCCATCAATTTATCATTCGTAATAGTTGACAGACCTGTAATGAACGTATCCACCCACGCGTGTTACTCCAAACGTCCGACGTAACTTTTGAGGATATAATCATTCCTCAGATATTCTTGGAAATATTAAAAACTGACACTGAAATATCTCGTATCATTTTAATATTTTATACTGCAAACTCATTATTAAAAAAAAATTCTGTGGATGGAAGAAATTTTCGTCGAATGATTCTTTTGAATTTCCTACCATCTCGTGACAACCACACGGCGAAAAAAGAGAAAAATTAATGAACAAATCAAATAATCGTGGAGCAAGTTTTGTGATTTTCGAAAAGTTTTAGAAAAAACGGAGGAAAATGATTGTACGATCATGAAATTTCGTGAGTCATTAAGGCCCGGGTGTACTATATTTCGAACGTTATCTCGATGTTTTTTTTCATCTTTCGTCATCTGAAATTGTCAATTAAGTCCGGCATCATGCAGAAGTTTTGAAAAATTATGAATGAATAATAAAAAAAAAGTAGAAAAAATTCTTAATTTTTTCAAAGAACATTTTTAATTTATATTCAGAATAAGTTGAATAACAAGACATTGACAAATGTATCTGATTTAGGGTGATAAATGGCGGTCTGTCACCCAATATCATGCAGGGGGAAAAATGATTTCGTAATTCTTTTCCCACATTGCACAGAGACATTTATTACGGAAAAGGCTCTTTGAAAAAAGTTTTAATATTTTGGAGAATGTTTTAATCATACTTTTATCACATAAAAATGGCAGATGACTACACACCACTGTTTTGAAAATTGAGATGCCTAGCTGTCACCTCCCATGAGGAGTTATNATTTATTACGGAAAAGGCTCTTTGAAAAAAGTTTTAATATTTTGGAGAATGTTTTAATCATACTTTTATCACATAAAAATGGCAGATGACTACACACCACTGTTTTGAAAATTGAGATGCCTAGCTGTCACCTCCCATGAGGAGTTATTGTTTTGTTATTCACCATGGAAAATGACAGCTAATAGATGATTTGCCACAGCGAATCAGATATTTGTAATTCTCACTTTTTTCAACTCATTCTGAATCTCAATTAAAAACGCTCTGTGAAAAAGTTCAGAATTTTTTCTATTTTTTAATCATTCTACCATAATTTTTGGGAATTTCTACATGATGTACCACTCAATTGACAATTTTGGATTACGAAAGATGGAAAAAATCCAGATAACATTCGAAAGATAGTACACCCGGGCCTTAAGTAATGATAAAACGCAACTACGGAATATTTTTTCACGTCAATCCGATCAACAATTTACCAGAAAAATTGAAAAAACGTAAATTTTGTTACTTCGTTACTGAATTCAATTACCCATTCCGATGGATTTGCCATGCTCACACGCTTGTCTGTTACCAAAGTGTCGATATAATTCAAAAAGAAAAGCAAATAAAAAATAAAAAAATTCCCACTTTGGAGATGGCTCAGCGTCACCCCACCGCAAAAATTCAGAATCGGAAATTCTAACTCGTACAATTCATCCATTCGAGAGTGAAAAGAAAAAAAATTGGAATCAATGAATGAAAACGGACGGCTGGTGAGGGAAAAGCGTTTGGTGGGTTAACGGCATAGAAAAAGGGGCGAAAGAGAGAGGACATTTGTGCCCCACGCTCTCTCACACTTGGCTCGGAAATATTCATTCATAAAATTTCACGTACGACCTCTTTCATCTGTGCCGAATACAAAACGAGGGAAAAAAGTGTCCCATGAGGGTTGAAAAAAGAGAGTATACTGGTTACCTTCAGAGAGGAGAGTGAGTTTTCAAGTAAAAAAAGGAGGGCGTAAACAGTGCCCTGCATACATGCTGGTCTCGATAGTTCAACGACAGGTGTCTTTCTCGACTCGCCATCGAGAAGACTGACACTCTGCTGAGTGGAAGGTGCTGAAAAGCACTCTTTTAGAGCTCAAGGCGAAGAGAGAGGTCCATTTTTCATATGATTAGGGCATATCCCTAGAAAACAGGTTTTTCTCACCATTGTCCCCATCGTTGCCGTAATGTTAGATAATGTTTATAATCCCCAGCTGTTGATTTTTTTGTTCACAACTATCCTGCTAATTGATTATCTAATGGCATGTACAAAAATAATTACAACCATTATTTTAAATAATGAATTATTAAAAAAAAAAAATCCATTAATTAATCCATTTAATGGGTGTAATTATTTCTGTGAACGTTTTCAATAAATATGTGCACAATTTAAATTCACTCCTCGTGTGCAAAAAAATGTGTGCAACTTTGTTTTTAATCAATTGCCGTGCATAATATTTGCGCAAATTATTTATCATTTTTAAAGGGGGAGAATTTTTTTTACTCAATTTATCTCAGGCGCACATAACAGAAAGGACACTGTACGACGAATATTTTGTGATTGAATTTGATGTGTACATTAAAAAAACTAATGTGCATATCGTGGTCGATTTTTGCATTTGTGCACGAACCTAAATGTGTACAATTGTTATGTGCATGGATCATATCCCGTCAAAAGTTCTAATTAGCAGTACTACACCGTTTGGGAGATGATGAGTAATAAAACGCGGGCAAATGGAAGTTATGGGTACCTCCAAACTCGATTTTTCCATGTTATAAGTAAACGGTTCTTACAATGTTCTTAAAAAACGAATTCATGGTAGATTGATAAATTTTGAATACGCAGAATTTTTTGAGTGGCAAATCGAGTGGCGAACTCGATTTTTCCATGTTGTAAGTGAACGGTTCTTACAATGTTCTTAAAAAACGAATTCATGGTAGATTGATAAATTTTGAATACGCAGAATTTTTTGAGTGGCAAATCGAGTGGCGAACTCGATTTTTCCATGTTGTAAGTGAACGGTTCTTACAATGTTCTTAAAAAACGAATTCATGGTAGATTGATAAATTTTGAATACGCAGAATTTTTTGAGTGGCAAATCGAGTGGCGAACTCGATTTTTCCATGTTGTAAGTGAACGGTTCTTACAATGTTCTTAAAAAACGAATTCATGGTAGATTGATAAATTTTGAATACGCAGAATTTTTTGAGTGGCAAATCGAGTGGCGAACTCGATTTTTCCATGTTGTAAGTGAACGGTTCTTACAATGTTCTTAAAAAACGAATTCATGGTAGATTGATAAATTCTGAATACGCTGAATTTTTTGTAAAATTTTATAGTACATAGTTTCTGCGATATTTAACTCTAGAAAATGGGAAATTCGTGAAATTTGTTATTTGATTCACACAGTCATTGTTACCTTCATCAACAACACATGAGAATTTACAATTTTTTCCGGTTAGCCATAGGGACTAATTTTTGGGTGATGTCTTGGGATATACCTTAAGGTCCCGAGAGAAAAGATTCTTCTTACGATTGTTTCCATGTTTTTCATAAATAATGTTTATAATATTCCCCAGCTATTGAAAAAAAATCAAACTAGTTGTATTACACAGATTTAGAAGATAATAAATAATGAAATATGGGCAATGGGAAGTTATGGATACCCCCGAATTCGATTTTTCCATCTTCTAAGTAAACGGTTCTTACAATGTTCTTAAAAACGAATTTATGGTAGATTGATAAATTCTGAATACGCTGAATTTTTTGTAAAATTTTATAGTACATAGTTTCTGCGATATTTAACTCTAGAAGATGGGAAATTCGTGAAATTTGTTATTTGATTCACACAGTCATTGTTACCTTCATCAACAACACATGAGAATTCAACAATGAGAATTTACCATTTTTTCCGGTTAGCCATAGGGACTAATTTTTGGGTGATGTCTTGGGATATACCTTAAGGTCCCGAGAGAAAAGATTCTTCTTACGATTGTTTCCATGTTTTTCATAAATAATGTTTATAATATTCCCCAGCTATTGAAAAAAAATCAAACTAGTTGTATTACACAGATTTAGAAGATAATAAATAATGAAATATGGGCAATGGGAAGTTATGGATACCCCCGAATTCGATTTTTCCATCTTCTAAGTAAACGGTTCTTACAATGTTCTTAAAAACGAATTTATGGTAGATTGATAAATTCTGAATACGCTGAATTTTTTGTAAAATTTTATAGTACATAGTTTCTGCGATATTTAACTCTAGAAAATGGGAAATTCGTGAAATTTGTTATTTGATTCACACAGTCATTGTTACCTTCATCAACAACACATGAGAATTTACAATTTTTTCCGGTTAGCCATAGGGACTAATTTTTGGGTGATGTCTTGGGATATACCTTAAGGTCCCGAGAGAAAAGATTCTTCTTACGATTGTTTCCATGTTTTTCATAAATAATGTTTATAATATTCCCCAGCTATTGAAAAAAAATCAAACTAGTTGTATTAGCCCGGTGGCTTGGCGCAGTGGGTAAGTTCGTTGCTTCACATGCGAAAGAATGGTGCGATCTAACCATTTAAAGTCTTGATCATCATCGCAGTATACCCTAACCGGGTCGAAGCGATGTAAAATAACGATAAAAAAAAACTAGTTGTATTACACAGATTTAAAAAATAATAAATAATGAAATATGGGCAATCGGAAGTTATGGATACCCCCGGATTCGATTTTTCCATCTTCTAAGTAAACGGTTCTTACAATGTTCTTAAAAACGAATTTATGGTAGATTGAAAAATTCTGAATACGCTGAATTTTTTATAAAATTTTCTAGTACATAGTTTCTGCGATATTCATCTCTAAAAAATGGAAAATTCGTGAAATCACTTCTTATTTGATTCAAACAATTGATTAACAAATTATTTTTTATTTGATTCGACCGATTATTGTTGCCTTCATCAACAACACATGAGAATGCAATAAATTAAGTCATTTAGAATTTTTTCCGGAAAGCCACAGGACTAGCTTTTGATATTGTCTCCAGATATACCTTAATTTCATGCAATTCTCATTTTTCCCAAAAAAGGTGTTGATATCTCCGCTTGAACGTTCACTACAAATTATTCAGAAAATCGATCATGACTTTTCCACCCAAATACGTGATCCGATACAAAAATCACCTGTCTCTCCCTTTCCCCGTAATTTAAGATAAATGAGGCACATGTTCAGTGGAAGGGAAAGGAAAACTTTTGACCGTGAAAAAATCTGATCCACGGAGAATAGTTCGTCTCCTCATTTTTTAGGGTCAAAACTAGGTCAAGGATTGTTTCATATCTT